TATCAAATCACAAGAATATCGGTTTTCAGAGTAGAAAAATCGTTTTAAAGTTTTGACGGTGATTCACGTGAAAAACGTGGACATATATATAGGGACACGGAAAACGTGCAACGTATACAAACTCAAATTTTAATCTTTGAAAGCTCATAACTTTACGAATGATTGATTTTTTTCGAAAACAAGAATTGTCTCAGGTTCAGAATCGATGCCTCCGCCTGAAGACATTGAGAAATGACGCTACCGTACTGTTTTTTGACGTAACATAATTTTTCTAAATTCTTCGATCATTTCTCCATTATTCCATAAGAACCTGTTGCAGTGAACCTTAGGTTCCTCATAGTTCGAAGACCAAGTGTTGAAATTGCTCCAAATTGTTCTCGTTTCAAGAACCAGCAAAAAGCGAAATGGTTCTTTTTCTCAAAATGAATGCTTTTCTCATTCTCTTAACTTGTTCATACCCGCAAAAGGAGATAGGATACCGGTATGTCCACTTAGTTCATTGTGTGAAAGTCATGATCAAATAAATCATCAGAAAGGTCAATTACATAAAGTAAATAGCGATTCTGAAAAGAGAAACGACTGGACCACCACATATTTTAAGTCATATGCCGTTTCAAAATAGAATCGAAACGTACCTCTAAAATTTTGTCTCTGTTCTGTCCTATTACTATGTTCAGATGACTGGTACAGAGTCTTGCTCCGAAGAATTCTGGACATCTAGTGAGAACAATGATCTCGGTCGATTGGTCGTTCTCTCCAACGTTTCATCATAAACTCTTTGTTAACTTCAGGAAAGTACGTATGGGTACGCTGTATTAGGCTTAGATGGAATGAGTTCTTCGAATAAAACGAAGAATATGCGCGCAGGATTAAAGGTAAAAACATTTTGTCGGATGTTATAGGTTTAAACTTCTTTTTATGACAGTTCATGTATGTTTTACGTTTTCACCGTTCTTCTCTAGTTCATCCCGCACCTTGCAAGCTAATGTGTTCTGCGTGTAGTGATCGTAGTAATTATCCTTTCTGACAACATTCAGATCAACTCCGTTGTACCCCTTTTCAAAAGGTAACTCACTCCAGCAGTGTGTCCAACCTTTCAACATTATTCAATGCTGGGATGAATCAGGCTAATAGTCTTTTTGCAGCTGGGTTTACCGCCCATCCTGATGGTAAAGTAAGGGAACCTTTGAATATTCTTCTTACTATCGGCTTCATTTTTTCAAAAATTCAAGATATTTGATATATCCAGCTTCTTTCATCTTTGCTTGACCAGCACACTCACTCATTAAAACGTCAAACTCAGATAGCCGCCAGACAAACATCTTCTTGACATCCGACCCACGGTTCTAAACTTTTCGAAAGACACTATCTTCATTCTTCATATTAAGTTTGAAAAGTTCTTCTGAGTCCTTTCTTCATAGCTACATGTGCTACTCCACATCTCATACATTGAATATTTCCTAATTTTATTTCTATCTGCAGTGAGTAACTGTACTTGGTACGTTCGTCGTGTTAGCCAGCAATGTCTTCTCCTCGTTCGAGCAATTCGAACAACTTTTTCTTATTAGTCATGAAACAGATTTTTTCTTTCACTACTGTTAATTTCTATTTTCATTTTTAGTTTAACGAAAAATGCCCGAAGGTCATTTTCACCTTTTTCTATAAAGCTGTACGTTACGTCTGCGTGATTTTCCTTTGAAAGGATAGAGTTAACAAAAACCTAATGACGAAATTGTCAGTTAGACTAATTGAGAATCTGAGAGAATGAGATTCGTTCGCGGAAAAAAACTTCCAACCAAATAAATTTTTTTGAAAGCAAATAAAGACGAAGGAAGCTTCCAAATTTGCTCACGTTATTCTCTTCTGAATTTGAGAATTACGAGATTCCTGACATAAGAACGAGAGAAATTGATGAAAAACGGAACGTACAAAAGATGACTATCTGTATTTTCAGGCAGAAAGCTTGGCAGACGATTCTGCGGGAAATATGGAAAGAAGGGAGGATCCATCAATACACTATACAACAGAAGGGTTCGTTTCAAACTTTTGAAATCATTCGAGCTCAAAAATTAAGAAAGGCAATAAAAGCCAGTTTGTTGATTTCATGTTTGATTATGAGATTAGCGGGCTCATCAATTGAAAGTCCAAAAACTGATTTTTCAGTATTGTTGTTGCTCATCAAAAGAAAAAAAAGTTATTTATTTTGTTTATAAAATCTGAACTCATATTCATTGACACTTTTAAGAGACAGATTAGGTCAACAATCACACTTTCTCTCTCTCTCTCTCTCTCTCTTTCTCGTTATTTCTATATATACATATATATCAGAGAATTATATAGAGAAGACACGAAGAATGTTACTCTATGAACGATCTGAAGTTCAACGAGACTTAAGAGTCTTCTTTCCGATACAAAATCTATATACAGTTAAATATAATGTTGAAGCGCGAGGTGTAGAGGTAAACCTCTTATAATCCCGATAAGTACATCAACAACCAAATGAGCTGAGTATTTAAAGAGTTGTATTTTAGCATAGCGCTTCATAGCTTTTGGTGATAATGAAACGAACCCCAAACATAGACGGTTAGAGGTCAAACGGTCGAAAAGGTTTTTTCTCACCAATTAGTCAGGATGTTTGTTGTGAGTAGTCTGGTGAATGAAACGTTGAAAGGTAATGGCGCAACACCTCAAATACATCAACGCTTTTCAACTAGATTGTTTTACTTTTGTTTTAAAAAAGTTTATTTGTTTTGCTGAGTATTTTAGAGTTTATCTAATTGTGGAGCTGACCACTGTAATTGGATATTTCAACGAGCCTTTACCGAGAAAGGCGAAAAACTTAGAACTTTAAAACGGTTGACAAACATCTATGAAGTTTGAAGCGTCAATGTGAAATCTTCTTCTTCTGGTCACTCGCTATCTTCTTAAAAAATATGTTTCATAACTCTATTGTGATGCTGACGTACTAATTCTGTTAACATTTTATGAATGAGTTATGTAAATAGACTATATACACTCATACTGTATAGTTTATTCACTGGTTTATAGCTTTCATCTTTCTCTTCTACCAAATCCAGATAGTCTTCTTTCCCTCGTTTTAGATACGTGCAAAGAACTAGACGAGAGAAATTGCTCAGGGAGGGAAGTAGCATAAGCCAAAATGAAAGAATCTATATATGAGATCGAATATATCATAGAAAAGTGAGAGAGCCGAAGAAAGTTTGGTGTTCACTCAGGCTGTCCCTTTCTTGGCGCGAGAGAAGAGAAAGCCAGGTGGGAGTTCGAAAAGCGAAGAAGCTTCTAAGAGCTTTGCTCTCACTATTCCACAGTCTTAGACATACATTGTGTGTATATCTATTGTGAGTATCGTGAAGAAGCTACTGAAGCTCGAAATTTCTTTTCTTGGCTACTTTATTCGTATTCTTACCTTCCCAACCATTTTATTTTTTCCCAAACTTCTTTTTTTTTGATGCTTCAAGTACTTGTTCGTTCTTATGGATCTCACTCATGCGTTCATATGTGCTTTTCTCAGGAAATGTGTCAGTCAGTATGAATACTCTTGATAGAGAAGAAGTCCGTAAGGACAATTATTACTTCACGACTGGGATGACAGAAGATCAGACCTCAGTTACAAAAACGCATCTCTCTGATGGAGAAAGCAATAACAACTCCTCAACGAAAACTTTTGAAAACAATTCCACTGAGCTCAACTCAAAGTCAGTATGAGAGCTATTGATTATCAGATTAATATTATTACTTTCTAACTTATTATATTTCAGTACCGTAATCGAGAATAAAGGATGGGACATTTTCCGTTTGCTGCCTCCGAAACCTGACAAAATTGGCCATGGTACCTTTTTCATTCGAACAATTCGAAAACAAATAAATATAATCCGAATTCTTCTAAATTTATTTCTTCTTTTTGACTGTCAATTAGATGACGGTTCGGCTTTAGATTATTCTCATTAGCTAATAGAAGAAATAAACAAATATGAATTCAGGTCTTTATATGTACACCTATTCTTGGTTTCATAACTCTTACGGAAGATATCTTTTGCAGGGTTCTGGCATGATACATCTCTTCAAGTGTTGAAATTAGCAACATTTCTAGTTTTGTTCCTTCTCACGTTATCTTCAGCAGTTGTAGCCAAATCATCTTTCCTTCTAATGACATCAGCCATCGGTTGGGGTGGCCAGAATATGACGATATGTAGAGATAAGATACCGGGTAGAGTAACTACTCTTAAATCAGAATATTTCTTACTTTTTCAGAGTCACATTGGAATACAGTACATATCACTAATCGTCATATAGTCAAATGGGTTTGGGGCACATTGTTAGCTTTATGTGCACCAGAAGCTCTTTGCTTCATACGGTCTCTTCATAGAACTCTATTCAAGAATGTTAAAAGACCTACATTGTTACAATTTGCAGTGGTTAGCCTTTGTGATAAGTACTTTCCTATTTATTCGAAATTTAGGTTCTGATAACTGAATCATTACACGCTACTGGAGTCGGAATATTAGTGTTTCGTATATTCCCCGACTTGGATGCAGTCACTGCGTCACAGCTCACGAATGCTATGTGTTTCATCCCAGCAATCTTATCTCTGGTTAGTAGACAAGCGAAAGGTAGCTCTTCTATCATCTGATTGAGATTTGTAATAACATCTTAGGAGTTTCACTTATATTAGTAATCATCGATATTGCCGCTATTGGTGCACAGTCCAGTGGCTTCTGGGCGTTCCCGGTAGGATTACATCACATCATTGTTACTAATGATAATTTAGATGTTCATTCCTAATCTGGAGAGACACTCTTTCGCTATTCCAGTCTCATTAACTCTCATTTCATTAGCTTGGTGGCAGAACTTCGTACATACAGAATCTGTGTTCCCGCCTGTGAAAGCCCTCGCCAAGTTAGCATTCTCCAATTTCCTATATCAATTTGGTTTTACAGTTTTGCTTCTCGGTTATCTGAAAGAAGATCAAAGACATATGCCTTTGTATCTCTCTGGAAAATGTGTATTTATGTAACGTGCATGTTCCTCTTCATGTCAAGCCGGTAAGCGTTTCTTAACAAAACAACAGCATTCTTTCTGACAGAATGAGAGTCGATGATCTATTACAAAAAGATCCGTTTGGAGAAAAGTTAATCACAATAACAGGACATACAATGAATCAAACTCTAATCAACAAATTCCTGAATAGAATGTCTTCTCTTCAACAACCAGGTGAGCCGTTTACCCTGAATTTTTGATTTACATATTTTTTAGAAGATGTAATGATGACGAACAGTCGCCCAACTACGAAAAAACCGTGGAACCCTGATGAGGTAAATGAAAATTTAATGCTATTCCTACATCTTCTCAACTTAAGGGACCTGCTGTTGTTGATACAGACGAATATCGCCACCGTGTGAAACGAAATGATGATAACATTCCACCACCAGCTTCCCAGAAGCTAAATGAAATTGAAGAAGAAGAGGATGAGGAAGATCTTCCGTCAGCTTATAACGTTTTTGAATGTTGCCTTGCTTCGTTTATCGATACTTTATAGATTTTTGATAACTACGTCGAACTCAATCTATTCACTTCTCCATATGATGCTCTTTGGATTGTGCTTGTACAAGTTTCAGCTGTTTTCATCTGCTATCATTCAAGCAACTTCGCTTGCAAGGTATAATGTCGCTGCAACCATACAGAAGTCAAAAAAATCTCAGGTCATGATGCAGCGAATGGGTTTCGCTCTCCCGATGGCTCTATCAGTGCCGGCTACTGTCTTAGTATTATCTTCAACTTGTTCCTTGAGGAACGATGAGCCCTGTCATATGACAAACGCATTGACTAAGGTAATACTGAAATTGTACTCAACTTTACTACTCACTCTTCAGGAACTATTTTGGAAATGTTTCTCGAATTACAATTCTTTATCTGATTTCATTTTGAGTCCCCAAACTTGGATATGGTTAACATGGCTTGGATCCCAAATTTGGATAACCATTCATTTGTGGACACCAAAACATGAACGCTTGGCACGTAGTGAAAAGCTATTCATTCTACCATATTACATCGGAGCCTTTGTTGATCAATCTTTAGTGTTCAATCGTCGGAGAGATGATAAAGCCAAAATCAAAGCTGAGGTTGAGTTGCAGTATAAATGTATGCTCATGATAGACTTTATAGGACCTTGAGTTTGAACAGGAAGATTCCTCTCTGACATATGAAACTATACCTGGAGGATTCTCGAAACCTCCTCCATCTGTATGTTCAATCAGCAGCAGTCGTTTGGAAAACGGTTTGATAAGGTAAGATATGGTATTCTGCATTTCAATACTCAGTTTTTTTGCAGGGATAGCGCAAGTTCAGCAGACGCAATAACCAAAATATATGTTTGTGCAACTATGTGGCATGAAACAGCTCATGAAATGACCTGTATGCTGAAAAGTATTTTCCGCCTGGATGAAGATCAGAGTGCTCGCCGTAATGCCCAGAAATATTTGAAGGTGAGATGAAACTTAAATCTTTTGACAATCTGTCTTCAAGGTTATCGATCCTGATTATTATGAGTTTGAAGCTCATGTATTCATTGACGATGCGTTTGATATAAACCAGTATGGAGAGCCTGTAATAAACAAGTTTGTCAAACAACTGATCGATGTCATAGATCAGGCTGCAAGGTAACTTTTTTATATTATTGGTAAATACTAACATAATTGCAGTGCTGTTCATCAAACTATCATGCGACTGAAGCCACCAAAGAAAGCGAAAACACCTTATGGAGGCAAAATCTCATACATCTTACCGGGAAAGAACAAACTGACAATTCACATGAAAGATATGCACAAAATCCGTAACCGCAAACGTTGGAGTCAGGTATATTCTTTCATTCAGAACGAGTTAAGTACTATATAATCAGGTCATGTACTTGTACTACTTACTTGGATACAGACTAATGATGAAAGTTGATGAACAGTCGAGAAAAGAAGTTATTTCTGAGAACACATTCATTCTTACGCTTGATGGAGATGTTGATTTTACTCCCCAATGTGTTCATCTACTTGTTGATTTGATGAAAAAGAATCGTCGTCTAGGAGCAGCTTGTGGTAGAATTCATCCTCGTGGATCCGGATTAATGGTTTGAAAGCAGAACCTTTTCCTATATGATAGCTAATTCAGGTATGGTATCAAAAGTTTGAATACGCTATTGGACATTGGTTGCAAAAAGCAACAGAACATATGATTGGATGTGTTATGTGCTCTCCTGGATGCTTCTCACTGTTCAGAAGTTACGCTCTAATGGATGATAACGTCACTAGAAAGTTTTTTTGCATTATATGAATCATAAACGTAACTCTAAAATGTCTGTAGGTATGCTTCGAAGTCTGAAGAACCACTGGATTACATTCAATATGATCAAGGAGAGGATAGATGGCTCTGTACTTTATTACTACAAAGAGGATACAGGTAAAACAATCGTTCAGTACGAAAATTTTAAAGTCATCCTCGCAGAGTTGAGTATTGTGCTGCTTCCGATGCCCTCACTTTTGCTCCTGAAGGTTTCAATGAGTTCTTCAATCAACGTCGTCGCTGGATTCCTTCAACTATAGCTAACATCATTGATCTACTACGTGATTATAAAAATGTTGTTTCTGTCAACGAATCTATCTCAATTTGGTGAGCAGTGAGTTGAAATATTAATAAAATTGAGAGAGTTTTCAGGTACATCATCTATCAGGTGGTTATGCTAATATCATCCATTCTTGGGCCCGGAACTATCTTCTTAATGATCGTTGGTGCTATCTCAATATCCTTCAAAATTGGTTGACTTCAAAATCTAATACTTCTTAACCATTCACTTCAGACACTAACTGGGCTCTTCTTGTAGTCTTCTTACCCGTATCGATCTTCTGCATTGTTTGTCTTGTGGCTAAACCGGAGACCCAAGTAAACTCTACTCACCTTTGAGTTCAGGTCATATCTTGTTATTTTTTCCAGCTTTTGGTAGCTCAAGTGATAGGAGCGCTTTTTGCGATGTTAATGACAGCCGTTATAGTAGGAACTTCTCTTCAAGTTAAAAAGGATGGCTACTTATCTCCCAACTCCATTTTCTTGTTTGCTGTGGTTACTAGGTAATGTTGGGCCTGTATGAAGTTGAATTCATCTTTGCAGTTTTCTCACTGCGGCTATCTTGCATCCACTTGAATTCACTTGCATCATTCCTGGTATTCTGTACTTCTTGGCCATTCCCTGTATGTACATGCTACTACCCATATATAGTGTCTGCAACCTCAACACGGTTTGGAACAACACATGTGCAAACACCAAAACCACTTCAGGTGACTTGGGGAACAAGAGAAGATCCACGGCCCGATGAAAAAAATGATCTGGCCAAAAAAGGCAAAGGAGCTCACCTCGATTTGGTGGAGAACGGAATGACAGGCGATATTGATGGTGATTTATCCGTAGGATGTGGCAGCGCTTGTCGACTTCTTTGTTGTTTAACTCCTGATCGCATGGAATCTTCTCCACAGGTTGGGTTCTATTACTCATTTTGCTCATATTTTTACTTAAGGTCTGGAGAATAAACGAGAAGCTGAACGAAATTCAAAGAAAATTGGATCGGCTAGATCGTAGAACAGTACAACCTGGAATTGGAAGACGCTCTTCTGTTATATCTACTTCAGGACAGCCAGCTAACTTAGATAAATATTCTGAGTTCGACGATGATGAAGTTGTCAGTTTCGTCTCTTAAGCAAATTATTTGTAAGTTTGTTTGCAGGGCGAAGTCGAAGACGATATTGAGATGTCCAACCAATCACAAGCAGCTAGAAAAAATCAAAAATGGAAACAAACTCAGAGTGAAGTTTGGTTGAATGATCGTTCACTGAAGAGGTTCGATGGTCAATGGTAATTAAACTAAAACCAACGTTTTTTCCAGAGCAGAAAGAGAATACATCGAACCAGATGAGGAAAGCTTCTGGGTTGATGTAATCGATAAGTACCTATCGCCAATTACATTAGAAAGTAAAGAACAAGACCGTATACGAGCAGGTTTATTGGAACTGAGAAATAAAGTGGAGTCTCGATTACAGTCTACAATAACACAGTTTATTACTTAGGTTACATCCGCTTTCTTCATGTTGAACATTGTGTTCATAATCGTCGTCCTTGTCCTTCAATTACAGAAAGACTGTCTTCATATAGAATGGCCTATTGGTCCCAAGTTTAAACAAATAGTACGACCATGTAACGGAGATTCCAAAGAGGTACTGTTGTTAAATATTTGAGAATTTCACATTTGATTATAGGAGATTTGGGTGGTGACACGCTTACAGCTTGAACCTATTGGTTTGGTGTTCCTTGTCTTCTTCATGAGTATCCTGATTATACAAGTTTCCTAACGACTTCTTCAAATCTTTCAATAGTTTATTTCAGTTCTGTGCTATGCTTTGTCATCGTTTCGGCACCTTAGCGCATATAATTGCATCAACAGAGTTATTCTGCTTTAGGAAGCCAATCGACCGACTCAGTGAAGATGAGATGGTGGTACAGAATGCAGTAGAAATTGCAAGAGAACTACAAGCTATGCGTGGCATAGACGAAAAGGATGTAGCGGATACAGTAAGTATATGATTATTTCATCTCATCAAACATACTGAAGGATGAGCGAGGCATTTCCCGGTTCCAAGTTGTAAAAAATCTTGAGTCTTCCCGACGATCAATGATGAAAAGAAAAACTGAAACACTAGATGCTGCCTTCAAAAAACGGTGAGAAAAAAAATGAAGAAATAGCATACATTTTTTTCAGTTTTTTCGCGTTATCAAGTGAAGCAGCTCAACAGGAAACGATTGGATTCTCTCAAAGAGATAATTCCAAACGATTGACGCTGAGGAAAGGAACTATACGTGCGTTAGAGCATAGAAGAGATTCCTTATTTGGTACCAACGATAAAAGAGTTAGTACAAGATACTCTGGACTTGATCGACACGTTGTTTCAGGATAACCCTTACGCTTCGGATACCGATGCTATCAACGGTGGAAATAGTACGCGAGGTCCTTCACAACGCCGCTTGGAAAGACTGTTCAATAATCAACCTGAACCTTCGGTAGAAAACTCTTCAGCAGGAAGCCGACGAAGGTTTTTATTTTCTTCTTTTGTGTTCCAATCTTTACCATGCAATAAAATAGTCTCGAATTATTATGATGTTATGTTTCAGATCGAACGCTCAACATGTTTGGGATGCTGCCTCTGATGATGGACGCCGATTTTGAAGAAAGTTCTCATACAAATATGAAAACAGATTTTATAAACAGAAAGTTCTCTCTTACTTAAGTAAGAAGCTTTTGCCCTATTTATTAACTAATTTATTTGATCACAATACTCATAAAGACTCGTCTTTCTACAAACCTTTCTCATTCTTGTCATTCAAACCATTTTTGTTTTCAATCGTATTGTTTGCTACAAGCCGGTGAGCAAATGAATATTAGTTTCAAATTTTTGTGAATCATGAATGACTACAGGAAGTATACACATGGGAAGTAAGTCAGTGGAATAAGTTCGTATAAGTTGAACACGAAAGCCAAAACAGTTCAGAGAATTCTTAATCTGTCAAGGAGAAACTGAAGATGAGTTGACAGGAGAGGAAATATTTTGACCTTGTTTCAGCAATTTCATGGAAGGTTGAAAATAAAGAATGTGGATTGTTTGAAACCTTTTCATCGTTCTCTTCCTACCCAGTTTGCCATAACTTGTCACTCTGAATGACCGTGCTATTCTCGAGAAAAACCGAGGCACCTTCTGCTAACCTCTAATCCTCTTTGTTCGCGTTTCTCATAGTCTTTTTATTTTGTCATGAAGATTTATCTAGTATTTGCTGAAAAAGAATATTCAAGAAAGTCTGTAACAAACGACCCGATAAGAATTATGAAAAGAGAGAGAGAGGGTTGAGAGGAGCCAATGGATAGTACAACCAACTTGAACAGAATTTTTGAAAGAAGTTTTGTGTTACGTCTCTCATTCCTCCAATAGGACTGTTTTCCTGTGGCAGCGAACGAGGCAGAAAACATCACGAGGCTTATTTCACTTTTACATTCAAGTAGTCATATATGAATTCCTCCTATGGTTGTCGTTTTTTTTCTGCCATTTAATGATCTTTCAGCTCTTCAGTTGGAGAAACTATATGAAAATGAGGTTATTACTTGTGATCATTAGTTTAAGTTCCGCGGATTGTTTACTCACTGATAGATTCTTGGAGTTAGAAAAAAAAAGTTTAAGAATGGTGAACCAGCCCAGTGGAGAGAAAACATCGGAGGTGAATGTTCGTTTCCCATATATCTATGTTTTTGCTTATAGATACAAAGTCAGTTCGATGATATTGCTGGAGAAATCAATTCTCTACGAAAAGAGATTCGACAAGAAGCAAATCCTTTCTTGATCATAAAGGTTGAATCGCAAGAGGAACACAGAACATTTCCATTTCAGGCCGAGCGTCTTGCTCATCATCTTCGTCAGAAGGCCGTTTTAAATAGTTTCAATACTATGAATAATCGTAACGTTCTATCTAACGCTGTTAATCTTACACCAGTTGTTGTGAGCAAACCTAATCAAGAAAACAACTCGGCAGCCATTCCCATAGGCCGAATGAAACAGGAGAAGAAAACAGTAATTTTCACCTCTTGGTAGATGATGCTTATAACTTATTTTTAGAACATAAGCTCGAGATTGAAATCGCAGAGCAAGGAACAGAAAATGGATCAAATTCTGACGACCCTACTCTCACCAGTGTTTCTTCCCTTTGTGGTTCTCACCCCAGTTGTTTCTCCTGCAGAAGACTTTATTCGTTAAAATTAAATGGAATATTCGGTATAAACAGTTTTAAAGCTATGTTATAATCATTATTATATATTCGCTCTCCCATCTTACCCATAAATGTTTGGAAGATCTTTCGAACTGACGTTCAAATACAACTTATCCACCGAAGCTCATCAAGCCAGCAATGATTAGGAACCCGATGAAAGTAGACAGCCACTGAGCCAGATTGCTATGCTTATTTGCATGTTCTGGCGCTAGAATCTATAAAACAGATTGATCAGCTTTTTCACATCACCGTTTGCTCACCTCAAAGAATGTAACATATATGAAAGTACCAAGAGAGAGACTCATTAGAACACAAGTGATGACATCTTTAGGAGTTTCACTGATTTGTGATGTCTAAGAAACTATTATTATGAGTTTTAAAAGGTTGAGAACGAACTTCTATGATTATTCCGATAGCCCCACCTAGAGGAGCAGCGATAGCTAGAACCATGATCAAACTAACAATAAACCAGGTTTTGTTGGGGTGTTGTTCGGAAATTCTAGTTCCTGTGCGTTTTAAGGTTATAATGAAAAGCTGAAAGTGTTCCACAAACCTACGGAAAATATGACTAATGCTTTATGAACACAAATTCCAAAAAACAGGGACGTGATAGAGACTACATCACTCTAAAAAAAGCAGTATATTTTTGAGGTGTTCTTCCATCTACCTGAACTCCAAATGCGAAGCCTTCCAATGTCACATGAACTAGCAAAGCTGATACGAAAGTGATAGAACTCACATAATTGTTATCATTAGATTGAGGAACTTCCTTCAAAGAGCTTTGATCCGAATTATAAGTAATACTCTTACTTGGCCGAGTGAAAGGATATGACGACTACTTGAAGACAAATATGTTGCTGCTCGTATTCTTTCCATGTCCTTTTCCTCATCACAATCTTCATTCTGACCACTAAAATGAAAAATAGAGTTGGTGGTTATAAATATAGAAGTTGTAAAGTTGATTCAAGGCACTCAAGATAGCGACAAAACAAAAAACTATTTTGATGAGCATGACTCAGATAAGTATAGTAAGTGACGTACTGTGAGTGACCGCATAGCTTGCCTGAGAGTTCCTCCAAAATGTAAACTAGGAAGAATCCTAAGCAGAAAATCAGAGGGACAAATGGATAATCACTTGTGTAGCTTGTGTCTTGTTGTACCTTTTCCCAAGATTCTCTGAATATCAAAAATAAAGTTGCCAAGCCAACCTTGCTCACAAGGAATCTGGAAGCATATCAAGAAAGCAAACCCCGAGAAAAACACCTCCGGCAAATGAGGAGAGAAGAGAAAGAATGAAAGAAGCTCTCTCTGAGAATCCTGACGAACCATCTTTGCGAAGCTTCTTCACAAGCTGCAGATAATATTTTTAGAGAAGTATATCCCGAGCAGTTTACCCATATAGGAAGTAGGCCGAACACAACAGTTTCGATGAAAAATACGCACAGGAACACGATTTTCAAAACTTGGTCGTTCATAGCTGGAATAGAGTAGTCTTTTGTAGATGAAAATTTGCTTATAAGGAGGGAATGTTATTAAGTAATAAAACGTTCAAAAGAAGATGTGACTGTTTACTTTTCTCTCTCTAACTCTCTTTCTCTCTCTCTCTTTCTCTTCTTGATGTCTTCATTAAGGATATTCGATTTGAAATGTATAAAATGAAATGAGCAACAGCTATTTGTGTGATTTATACGTTTCTATCATATCAGGAGAAAAAATGAGCTGTAGGTCTGACTATGTGAATGTGAGATGTAAACGAAAGACAATTTTCCATTCAATTGATAATTTCTTCTCTTTTTATATGTTGATATGAGCTGTCTTTTTATCTTTGGATCTCGAAAACTCTCTCCATCTAACACATGTAAAAGACCTTTCTTTCTCACGTCATCATCTTTCTCTTCTCTAGCCTCGTACTGGCACGTTATATCTGCATACTCTGCCTATTTGTTCGTTTCTTAAACTTTCAAACTCTCTCTGCATGGTTTAGCTTAGATATTCGCTTATCAAGGCTTCTTCAAAAGTTAATCGTGAAAAACATTAATTAAGCGTCAATGAGTTAAGGTTCCAGACAATGAGAAACATCTTAGTTCTGGATCTAGCCTTCATAACTTTTCATGTCATACCACCCATACACGTTCTGTCATGCATTGAGGTTTGGATGTGAAACGCATATTCTGATTTTTTTTTGTGTTTTTGAACATCTCGTAGACCTACACTTTCTTTGCCTTTTACGGCCTCTCAAAACTAAGTGGCAATCTAATCACCTAGCGATAGTTTTGCTGAGAAGACTGAAAAGTGAAAATGCTGCGAAACTTCATGTAGAAGTTGATGTTTAATTTGAACATCTAGGGAAAAAAGATCTAGATGTCTTCTACACCGAGAAATTCAAGTCTTGATTGTTCAAGAAGTGAACAGATTGTCTGACATTTTATAAAACCTTGTATGTTTATGAGTATCCTCAAAACATTTGTGTTTTTTCGGTTCCGTGTAAGTGATATGCGATCATGAAACCAGCATTCTAAGATTTTGTCAGATGACGAAATTGTTTAAGCTTAAGCTGATAAGCTTTTAAAATCTTAACGGGATGTCGAAGCATTTCTATTATTGTGTTTTATGTATTTTCAAGGACTGATGCAATCAGTCGACTACTCTATAAAATTTGATTCTCAAATAACTCTTCTGTTTCGTATCTGAAAGTTGGAGGGGAAAACGTTTCTTCATCTCTTTTATTAGGTTCGTTTCAAAGAAATGTCAAATATGTTTTATAGATGTAAATGATCAGATGTAAGCCAGCAAAAACATTATAACAACAAAGAAGTACTTAGAAGCAGAATAGTTACATAACCTAGAATTGCACAAGCAAGCTGAGTTTTCAGAGGAATCACAAGATACTGTTCTATTTAACGAAAAACCATCTTTGAAGAGCTTCGAAAGACAACCTCGTATGACCAAGGTAAGATCTTAATCAGTATGGAAGATATTATAGGAAAATATAAACTTACCTTTACTCTTTATCCTAGTTGTAACACACTCATCGGAAAACTCACACTCGTCTGTGGGAACTTTGAAAAAATCAAAATGCTTGGAATCATCGCAGAACTTGTTGGATGGGGGTATGTGATACCTTAACACGTATTACCATATAAAAATAAGGAAGCAGAACTAACTTAGAAAACATGTAAACTTTGAAAGCATTAATCTCTTCTATGTCCAAGTGCGACAAAGGTATTTGAGATATACAATGAAAGCAAAGTAACTTCTCAGGAGAACACCCAGTCAGACACAATTGAAGTAACAGGAATAGTTGGAACAGAACATTCATTTATTCGTTCAGCTTCATACGTGTTGTATCATAATCTATGGAGTTCGTATATGAGAATGAGAGTATAACGAACATAATAGGCAGAAAAATCATTAAAATACGCATAGAGAAAGAAACATGAGGTGAAGAAAAAGCCGCTTTGACCAAAAACAGGAAAAGCTTAACGTAGTATGAATCGATCATTATGAGTTTCATGACTCAATTATAATGCTTATTGAATCTGCAGTGACTGAATGAAGATAGAGAGTAACGCAGGATTCAAAAAAACTTAATTCTGAATTTAAGTTACCCTAATTGGATAAAGATCTTTTTTTTTAAAGAAGTGTTGGAACTTCTTCATTTTGATTAATCCTTATCAGAACATAGTATTTGCAATTTGCTTATTCTATAATGTTCGAAATAAATATATATAATGTATTCATACAGAAAATAAGATTAAGCTAAGCAAACATGAGCTTAGCTCAGTTATAACATACGCTTTTTACTACCGCGGCTGTCAGCAGCTGGCTAGTTGCTTTGACTGGTCATGGGAAGCCTTCTGATGACCAGAGTTACTATGACAACCACTCGATACACTTCTTAGGTATTCTTCCGTGTATAGACTTGTTCCTCCAATCCAAGTGAAAACATAATGAGTAGGGTTCAATGCTATAAGGTATTCAAATATGCCAAAAACTTCTTCACACGATCAATATATTTTCTTTCAAAAAGACTCTATGATAGACCGCTCAGCAAGTCATAGCACGAAATGAATTGATTGTTAATAAGACAACGTATATTTTCTTTCCCCACGTGAAAACGTGAATTACTATCTTCCACGTAGATACGTGAAAGTGTTCCACGGGAACTTATTTTCTCATTTGTGAAAAAAAGAATAGCGACGCGGTTGATCATGCTACCCTCCGAGGATATAAACGTAATTTCTCAAACCACTCTATAGCTTTTTTAACTCTTTCAACTTCAGGACTCGGATTTCTCTACACCTTTCTTCGTATCCTTGGCTACAGGTTTACTCTATGCTTGCATTCTTTCTGGGGTGCACATTTGTATAGTTAAGTAAGTTTTATCAGTTGAAGTAAATAATTTATTATCATAATCGTTCCGTATACTTTATGTGTACATAACGAGGTTAATGATGTAAACGACCAAGTGCTATCGCGACTTGTTAGTATCAATGAATAACCAACGTTATTCAAAATTCTAATTTAGCAGCCTTGTCAAGCAACGACTAACACATATTCCGAAGGTCAAAAAAATCCGTGTTAAGCCTAAGAGAAAATAAACTTATCACCTATACGTCTGATTAGAATATTTTGTAACATACTATGATACTTCATTGGACAAATTTTCTTCTTGAATAAAGACATTTCGTCGCATACTGCAGTAGTTTTATGTAAAAATATATTTCAGTCATCTATGAACTAGAAAACGTGCATAATATCGCCGTCGTCAAGGATTTTACGCATTTTTCTAGTACACAAACACCGAATGGTGTAGAGAAGAATAATCAGGAATAGGTTAACCGTAAGGCTGATAAAGCTCATCATACCAAGTCTTTCGTCGCTTTTTATAGTGATCGTATCTTATCGTTGACTCCACCTCTAGACAAGGCAATGTCATTATAATCATAAAGAGAGTTAAGGATAGAAAGAGCAAATGTTAAGAAAGGAAAGTACTAAATTCGAAGTATACTGTACTCACTAACAGCATTCATAGAACGGTTCATTCAATCTGTTGAGAATGAATGATAGGATTTCCTATACTACATTGACCATAATTAACTAGGACTATGAAAGATGCTCCGTCTTAAGAAAGCTGACACAGTTTGAGATGAACAGAGCTACACACAACTGGAAAGAATCAGCAAAAACAGAAGACGACTGTCGAAAGACATTGAGATCGACTGAAATGTTAAGGTTTTGAATTGTTATCAGAGAAAGTAAAAAATTTTATCAGTTTTCAAATCAATAAAAACATCTGAAGTTTAAGATTGGTTGATAGACTTCAGGAGTTGCTACGACACGTCACTGAGATTCACGACAAGATTTTCAGTAACATGTACTGTTTCAATTTACACGAGTAGACGTTCCAAAGATTGATAGAAAACGAGGAGAGTCAAGATTTTACGAATCAATGTGAACGAAACATATCAATGCCATTCCAATCAATTCGAGCAGCCATCAAGCACGAGGTTCCTTTCTACCGACAAAATGAATCAGTTTCCAAATAAGCCTCTTTCCTTTCTTCACTTCATATTTGTGAAGATGAATAACCACAACTCATGTACTAACTCATATATATTCCATTCAACAAAATACAGGAAATATTTATTTTTTCGTTTATAATGGAGGAAAAAAACAATTAATAAAGCATTTCTGAATCTGCTTCGACCCCGCTCCTAATACATACAAGAAATGAAGTTATTCAGATGGCATGGATCCCGCATGAGATTCTATTTTATCAATCAAACCGAAACTTAATGCTTCCTTGGAACTCATGAACTTATCTCTGTCGAGAGTAGATTGGATGACCTGCATGAAAGTTTCTTAATAACATGTACTTATTAATACTCTACCTCATACGTTTGACCTGTGTGATGAACATATATCTCGTTTGTTCGCTTTTTCAACCGTGCAATTTCTTCAGCTCTAATAAGAATATCAGAACAAGTGCCCTGAAAAAACAAAGTTCACATAACGTTCAGACCTGATCGCAAGTATATTTCGGTTCAAATTATCTCATTTTAGAGTGTTGCCTTATTCAACTCCAAACATTGCAAACTATTATCATTGGTAACCCCAGGTGAAGCGCCCTATGAATTAAATTTGTGCAGGGCAAACGCAATCATCTAATTTACAACCCCATTGATAAGAAAGAACTGATTTGACTAGCGTGAATTTGACTGTTTGAAAACTTGAAGACTCACACTCAATCAGTTATTCGATATGCATAGTGAAGATTCATAAACCTCTGTTAAATTGAACTTGTCTATAAGAGTTACAAACCTGAGCTCCGCCGCTAGGTTGGTGAACCATGATTCTGGAGTTGGGAAGAGCCGTTCTCATACCTCTCTCTCCAGCACACAATAGTAATGAACCCATGGAAGAAGCCTGGAGAAAAATACAAATTGCATTAGCCAACTTTCAATCCTCGCAAGTGGAACTGATTAGTTTGAAAGACCGGGCTGAGTACTTACTTGTCCTACGCACCAAGTTGATACTGGGGCTGTGATCATTTGCATTGTATCATATATGGCCAATCCAGCAGTTACACTTCCTCCTTAACATAAAGCATACTCATGAATATTTAAGACTTCCACAAGTTCTAGATTAGCAGGATATGAACCTAGGGGTAACATCAATGATACTTTGAACTCGAACGTGTTAGCTGGGCTGGTTGCGTACTAAGTAACTACTCTACTCTAATGATTTCCACCAACCAGGACTGTTTATGTACATATGGATAGGCTTTTTGCTGCTTTCACTTTGTAAGAATAGAAGCTGAGCGATTATAGATGAAGCTATGAAATCATCAACCTGCAACAGGAATATTGAGCGATAGAGGAAGTGCAAGTTCCTACTGGAGTCATGAGACAAATTATCCTATCGCGTAGGAGACGACTGTATATGTCATAACTCCTTTCCCCTCGACCTTCATTATCAATGACAATAGGTATGGCATGAGCTGAAGGAGAAGAAGAGAACCTCCGAGGAAGGGATAATGATAATCGTAAGCTTCTAATCATTAAACTCCCAAACACTAAACTTCATAAGTTTCATATGAATAATAAACAGATAATGTAGATAGACCTGAGAAGATTCAACAACAGCAAATCATGAAAGAATCATGAAGTGAATAAAAATATTTATTATACATTTAAACTTTTCCTTGGAAATATACAAGTGCGCACTAGTGCTAGCCTAATAATCGAGTCGTGGAAATATAGCAACAACGGAATGTAATTATAAAACGTGAGAGCTACAAGTTTCAGTAAAATACAAAGTGAACTATCCAAGATAACGAGATTATCGGAAATCTTCAGGATTGAAGAGACCGCGAGCTCTGTTCAAGATACTGTCCTATAAGGTAGATGGATAGTAATGTCGGAGACTTGAAAAACTACTACTTACCTTCGAAGGATCGTAAGGGGCTTCTTTACTCGGAATTTCAAGAACAGCTGGGATAGAAGCTGTATGCTGATCAACCTAACAAAGAAATATTTTTGCAACCGGAGCTCAGAAAACACTTACCGCATATCTTATCATCTCGGCAATATGTTGGTTGATGAGAATGATAGCGATATCATCGCGAGAGCACAAAGACTTGAAAGCGTCTTCAATCTCTTGGACAACAGTATTCTTATCCACGATAAGATAATTTGGTTTGCGTGCCTGTTGTTAACGAGATAGATACGGTAAAGTTAAAACAACAAACTTTATTAAGTTCTCCGATGCCTCCGAGTAAAAATCCAACAACTGTGTCCTCGTCACCGATGACAGCCATAATCTTACCTTTAGCAGCAGTTCCAGCCATTCTTAAAAGACGTTACTAGTAAAACAGGACTGAAGTCATGAGACAAGGACAGTATTTAATTTGTGAAGGCATTTTTCAATGTTACTGAACTATGGTCTCATTAGAGTTTGAAAATAAAAAAGAATATGTAATGTAATGTGTTATAGATATGCATATGTATATATGAACTTCTAGACAATAATAGTTTTTCTGTTAAAATAAACATTCATTTTAAATTGAATGAATCATAAAACACTTGTCAAAATTCAACTCAGTATAGCGATCATGAAGATAGAAAATCGAAAACCACCCCGTTTGCGCCAGGACCAAATACCAGCAGTCCTTTAATGCGAGAGCAGTGGGAACGAGGGAGCCTCTACATGTTCATACTTTTAACGTAATTTAGTGGGTTTTTCATATTAGAAGACTTTTTATATATTGAATATTTGACGGAAGTCCATTTTTCTTATTCTCAGTGGATAGTCAGTTGATAAGCTTGGTACTCCCGAAACAACATGCAGTAGTCCCTGAAATGGAACTTAGCTAAACAGAACAAAGCTATTATTTACTCCAGTGAACGGTCGGATAGCAGGATTGTCATGATATGAAGATCTATCAATATTTGTTCTTGTCGGCAGTAGTATGTAAGAAGAGTGAGCTGAAACCAGAACTTGATGAAGGACTTGTTAGGCATATGGATACTACTTTCAGGGATACAACTGCTTACAGCCATGAAAATCAACAAGTACAGAAGATGATGGCTATAGGTTCTCGTGTGTTTCATTCTTGAAAGATTTAGCTTTGACTTCATACGATGTGTTAGATATGAACAATGTAAAGAGTAGAACATAATCATGGACTGTGAGTGTCTACGTTGGGTATTCTCATGGAAGTATAGCTATAGAGATTCAACTAAGGCAGTTACAAAAACAAAATGAGTAAATTTTACAGCATATTCATTGAAGAACGTCGAGAAACATCTGGGATGAGCTCGGAAAAGGCGACACTGAGTGGTTGAACGACTTTCTAGACCCAATCTCACTTGTGAAACTGAATGTAAAAGGAAAACATCCCTGCCTACTACACACGAAACCATGCTCAAGCTTTTGGGGACACTATTTCTCTCTTTTGTACCAGAAAAGCATACAAAAGTGGGAATAGGTGAAGCCACGGTAACAACCGAGAATGCTGTTACACTCGAAACAGAAAAGTAATCTGTAACTACTAATGAACTGAATTGTTGAAAACTTAATAATTAATTGCGTTGGACATATCGAGGGTGTATATGCACAAGACAGCGAAATTGAGTATTCAATTGAAGTCGATGAGTAGGGAAAGATGAGAGCAACAGTAGTCCATGAATTTTGGTTCCGATAAAGGAGACACTGAGAGACAATTGTTTTCAATTTCTCCCTTCTTTTCTGATCTTGGCTAGAAACCTTTTCTCCCGGAATTGCTAACACAATGTTGTAGCAGTTTTGTCAATTCGTCTTTGACGTTGGCTTTCTTAAGAGGGATTAGAGACGTGCAACATCATCAGACCTTAAATGAAAAAATAACGAGAATCTTCGGTTTACGCCCTGGGAAATCCAACAGAGACCTAAATGAATGTAGATAACTGAAGCCAGAAATGAGTAGGTGTAATAGGAGACAGCTTCAGATGATAAAATAAATTTCTAATCAAATTTCCCATCGAACCTTGGAAAAGTTTGCCATAGAAAAGCTTTGTTGGCAGCTTAGTTTGTGTTGATTAGCCTACACTTAAAGGAACGTTTTAGAGCTTTATTCAGAGAGGAATTCACAACAAATACTTCAGGAATGTTTTTGTGTTTCAGTTATAAACAATCTTCAAATGTGAATCAGTTTGATTGAAATTTAAGCTCAACACATGCTTCATCAAAGAGGTTTCATGGGAATTATCAGATAGAGAATGAGAAGAACAATAAAAGTTGCATTGCACATACAAAAATTTGATAAAAAAAAACAATTTCTAACAAACAAAAACTTTGCTGAGACTAAGTTGATTGACCATCCTAATAAGGTGAAATATTCATCCAATCCGGTATAACAATGGGCTGTTTACTAAAACGTTTTTCAGAGGAAGGGATGGGGTAAGAGAATGGATAATCGGATGGAGGGACTGAAGCTGAAGGCATTTCAGCTGTTGCTCCTGAACTTGCAGTTGATTCATGAATGAAGTTAATCTAAAACGAGAACGGTTCAGTTTTGGTATTTTGATGGACAACGGGGTTCTTCGGGGTGAGTACCAGAACGGGAGAAAGCTTAAACATTTTTCGGATCCTCATAACCTATTCTGGTCATAAAGTTAATGACTCGTGTTATGAAAACGTGTCGTGTCTTACGAGCTTTTCGAAACCATTGTTTTGGGTCATTGCGCTCTCACTCATACTTTTTTAAGTAACCAACTCAGGAAAATACATATAGGAACAGAGCTTCTTAGTTTGAACTAACTAACCGGAAATGGTGATATTGCTGGATTATAGAGATAGTTACTAGAATCAATATGAGGATAAAGAGGGCGGATAATGTACAAACCACTCACTGAAACTCAAGTATTGAAGTGAAGCAATTTTACTGTTACCTGCATGAAACGATATTACAATTAAAAGTATACTTAGTTTATATAGATCCGGCATCTGAAATGAAGCCAAAAAGACTGTGAACTATAACTTTCTTCGAAAAAGATTCTGTGAAAAAACGTTTTAGAATGTTAGGTGACACATACGTGGGAGGATTATCTGAGTATTTTTAACGAGTCATTATGAAAGCAGGCAAAACTTCATTGGAGATAGAGAGGCAAAGAATAATGTTGAAAAATAAAGGGGAATGAAAGTTCAGTTGAGAACTGAAGGGCTCTGGAAAGACATTGCTCCTATGAATCGTCATAATGGTTTATTAATTCATAAGCTTTAATTTTTATATTATTTAAATTAATATCATGAAATATAGATGACCGTAGGTCATTAACAAAATATGAAAAGAAGAATAGCGCGAAGAAGATGAGACAGCCGTCGTGTGAGCTGGAAAATAAGTTTTCAAGTGTTGTCACATATACCAGAAAGGCAGTTCTTGTGTCATAAAAATGAATGTTTAAGTTAGTTAATCGAGATCGTGACTACTGAAGAAAGAAGAGCAAAAGCTAATTAGGTTAGTTTGTTCGAAGTAACAACTTGGGCATATTCACATTCGGTTGTTTTAAATTCTCATTGAGTCATATTTCGTTTTTGAAACGAGTTAAGCTCTTTTAAATTGAATTGAGACTTACTCGTGCTACTACTTTATTCACAGGCTATTTATTTCATTTAACAAATTTTCAAATCGTTGAATATTTGATAAAATATGTTGATTTTATTCAATTTACTAGATGGAAGATGGAAAGGATAATAATTAGGAAAACGATTCTATGGAATGCGACCGCTCATTACGCTGTTCATTTTCGAAATGAAAAAGTTCAGAGATGTGTTTACGTCTTATTAGCGTGAATTAACCACGTGGCATTAACGTGGGAGATTCTTAACCGTTTGGGAGCATTACTGTTAGTAGAAGGAAGAAAGCGACTCAGGTAGCTAGAGAATAATCCAGAATGGCAATGAACACTCAACGTTGTAAGAATGAATAAAGAGAGAAGGCCAAAAAGGTTTTTCTTCGAGAAAAAGTTGAGAAGATGAGCTTGGATAAAATAAATTGTGTTAATTAAATTTTTTGTCATTAAGCTGCTTTTATGTGTTAGAAAAATAAATTTGTTTGCAGAAAACTGATTATATTATCCTTAAATGGCAATAGCGAGGGCGGCTGGCGCTGTCATCTACGCACATACAAGACAAGACGTGATTATTAAGTACTTTTTTCTTACTCTCTATTGTTTTTAAAACTAATAATCTCAAATTGAAAGCATAGCGTTCGATCAAGAATTTCTCTGATACCGATAATTATAGATGACTGAAGAGTCATCTGCAAACGAACATTAAACATGAAGTATGCTCTACATAGGCGAATGAGTTAATTGAGAATTCCTTCCAAACAACTTCTCTTATCTCAAAAACTGCTGTATGGAACGGAACGAAAGAACTTAATTATGGTCAATGACAGAACTTGGCAGCAATCAGCCTGCAGAAGCTGAGACAGAAGACTAATGAAAAGATTGAAAAGAGGATTAGAACTATTTATTTCCAACGTCCAACTTTTAACCTCACTGGACGTATACATGTAACAGAGTTGAGCGAGCTACTCATATACTCATCAGATGACATTTCCATCAACAAATTTTGCTAATTTTCAATGAGGTATCAAAACTAGATGAGCCTCATCAATATGTTTCACCTCATTAACTAATATAAACAAATGAGCTTTCGAGTATTACGATATGGTGATTGAGTAGGAATTCATGTTTCGCCTTGTTTTTTACATCATCGTTGAGCAGGGATAAATTTGAAACAGCTTGTTATGATACTTTAACATCAGAAGTGGAACAAGGCAACTCAATACGTGCGCTTACCTTCATAATCTTCTGGTTCTGGTTTCATGAGGAAGAGTCGTACTACATCCCTCCCTATTCATCATTTCAAGTTTACTTCTTTGAAATCAGATCACTTCATTTTCATCCAGAAGATTCTTACGCCCATTTAATGGGAAGACAAAGAGAAAAAGGAGAATCAATTAGTTATTATAGCAATATTTTAAAAGTGTTGATGCCCAATTAGGCATGAGCTATATAATATGAGTAATCATTTAGAGATATTGTCAGCATTATATACAAATCCTAATTTTGATAAACGAGGTAAAGCATTCGAATATTATTTCCCACTTTTAGTTTTGAGAGAATTAAAAAGATGTTCTACTCTGTCAACTTTCCATTTGACACCGAGCCTGGAATTGGAACATAATCTATGTAGATCGAACATACAAACTTTGTCAGGTCTTCGGTAACACATGTCGCACGTAACTCCTCCCACGATGTGATTTGTAAGATGAATCCATCTATTTCCTCATCCTTAATACGTGAAGCCAGTTTTTTATCTTTAGTTCTCTGGAAGACCAAGCGATACAAGTCATCCACCTAAAATGAATTATCTGAAAATTAATTCCTAAGAATGACTCACAGTTATTGAGCTTATATCTTTCGTTAAGAAAGTCTCCTCACAATTGTCCAATCTGATATGATTTTAGCTTATATCTTATTTCCACACTTTCATGATTAATTTACCTATTAGGAATTCTCCAATAATCACAACATTTTTCAATTGCGACTTCGATTTTTCGAGCAAATCCGAACCTTAAACAAATAGCAGTGAATATGAGCTCGTATGGTAAAAAAATACTTCATTCTGAATGGAGACTCTCTCATCTCCTTTGAAGATAAAGAAAACAACACTGAAGCGTCAATAACTTCTTTCTCAAATGTCTCCGCTAGTTCTTTGGAACCGGTAACGCTTAGGATCCAAGAGCATGTCTCCTCAACCTGAAAAGTGTTATCAACAGCAGGATGAGATTAGACTTACACTCCAGTTATACGGATGAATTTTGATCAACTTCTCCATGCTTTCTTCCAGAGTCGACTGAATATTCTTCTTACTGCTGATTCCATGGTGGAGCAATTCTGATGATGCCATGTCAACTGATTTCAAATCATACGGAACAGTCGATTCAGAATCGACAGAATTCGCGCTAGCTTTTTCGTTTAAAAGTTTTTCATCTTCCAGTTTCACGTGTTTGTTTAGGAAATGATAGTTGCAAGGAACTCCGAATACTGTTTCCTGGTCATAGGCATCTTCCTCATCGCAATTCAGCTCTACTACGTGTTTCATTATTTCATCCGTTCTATTTCTTCGCGAGCAGCATTCTTCATCTTCTTGGTACATAGCTGAATCTATAAGACTATATTGTAACAAGATGTGTCATCATAAGATACCTATATAAGAATATTGATCTCCATTCTCTTTTATGAACATTTGACGGCACGCCACAGAGCAATACTGTGGATAAACATCGGAACAACTCTACAGAAATTTTTAAAACTTCTAAACTTGAATCTCATACCTCGGTCACACAATTGAGACATTTATTCTGATTCGTAGTTATATTTATAGCTTTATTATAGAGCTGATGTTTCATGGAGGTGATTTCAAATCTGAAGCTTAAATCACGCCCCGATGTCGATTCTGTAGAAATAATTCATATGAAACAACAACTGAGTTAATCAGCACACTCACCATTTCCTTCTCTTTCATGTGAAGCATCTTTTTCATGACTACAGTGTACTTCCCACTCTTCAAAATTCTCCAGCTTTTCGGAATTTACAAAAGTATCTGTTATGCTTGACGATTCTGCGATGGGATGACCATGTTTATCTTCTACGTCTTGACAGACTTTTTTCTCTGCTTCATATTCAGCATAACATTCGTGATTCACGTCTTCCAAGACTTTCAGTTCATCATTTGCATCACTTACAGCTAGCGTTCCCTCCTGTTCAATAGACTCTGATTTTATCTCATTATCAGGATGACAGGATTTAGACAGAAGGTCGCGTTGCTGATTTCCCTTGTTTTGCTCAAGCTTGGAATCAGTTATACATTCAAGCTCTGTTTCAGATTCACTAAATCTTCCTGCTACTGTTAGAACTAGTGAATGCTTTTTTAACAAATCATGCTCTATGCATTTCTTAATTTCGGCGTCTTGGCTCTTCCCAGATATCCGTTGGATAGGATAGTCCGACTCAGAGCATTCTTTCGAAGAAGAGTTATAAGAGACGGAATCTTCCGAAAAATTCCGATGTCTGTGGAAACTCCGTTTCATAATATTCTCGTCTTCATGTTTATCCTAATAAATAGTAAGGCTAGCTAATAGAACCTATTGCATTACTCACATTAAAGCTTCTCCTCTTACTGTCTAATATAATTCTTTCTCCAGCTTTAGGGCCAAAATCCATACTTAGAAGCTGTGTCAACTCATTGCCACGGCACTTTTTAGATTTACCCTTCTTCAAAACATTGATTGAAAATAATAAAGGAGGACAACATACTATTTTATCCAAACCACTCAAAGCTGAATCAGATTGTTGTGATGGCTCTGACCACAACTTCATTGCTCCCGAACAAGCGCCACTTGTAGATAGAGCGCTACATTCAGTTTTCCCTGTAGAAATAAAATATTCAATCGACTTGTTTGAAAATAATACTTTTTTCTTTCTTTGAACTTTCTTCCAATCTCTGTGAGCTAGATTCCTTATTTTCTTTGTCCTTACGCTTCCCAATTTGAACAGACATGGGAGAGAGAGGCCTTTCACTTTCCTAACTCGAATACAATAAAGATAAAATTGAGATGGTGCCAACTTCAATAGCGAATCCATGTATATGATGCAGTAGAACTCCTTTATCATTCACTGACTTTTTGAACTCATCCGCCTCCTTAAGGAAAGCTTTCTCACATGTAAATCCCATCGGAGTTTCTCTATTTTCGTCCAGCTCCTCTTCATCATCAACTAAGAGCTATTATGTTGAATACGGAGAAGATTGGGGAAAACCTTTATCTAGAGCTGGAGGTAACTCTTGTAGATCATCATTTGGATCATTTTTTTCTTCGTTTTCCAATGGAGTCCGATGTTGATTAACAAGAATGTTCTGACAAACGAAAAGAAATGCTAAGTGTCAACTCACTGCACGAACCGTTTGACTTACTGATGGAGAGTTTTGACCAAAAGAACCCACTAACTGATTAGATACTAGAACAGCAAATATAATGAGACATGGAGAGATGAATGTTCTATTACCTGGTATAACATACTGCTGGCCTTGAATTAAAACGAAGCTCATAGACGACGAACCTGTAATGTTTTATATGTTGAGTAAGGGTGCCAATTTATCTTACTTTGCACTAGGAAAGGACCGTCATTTTTACGTAATATGAAACGGGGGCTCTGATCAGGAATATCATTACCTAATTATAATTTGAAGAGCAAAACTATACTTCTACTTCTCACCTCTACCTGTCATAGTACATGTCTATATGGGAATGCTTAACGAACAGAAAGAGCTTAATCGTTTAGCACAATCAGCTAAAAACTAGACTCACGATGATGCATCACACATTCAGTTTCTGTATTGAATCAATAGCACCCTTAAAGAGCTTGGATAGCTGTAATTATGAGCACCAGAACGAAGAAGAGATGAGAAAAGAAGCTATTTGCTAACGACTCAAGTTATGTTTATAAAATTGGAAAAAAGCTCGTTCATGCATGAAAAAAGTAAAAAAAAAAAAGAAAATAACTAACTGAGGGAGAAGCTGGAATATCTAAATTAAATATTATTTGAAAATAGCCATATGTTAATTACATCTATAAATGAGGGAACAAACATTTTCACCCAAGCTAATTGGCTATTGAAGGAGGACCCTAATTGGTCTCGTCGCGACTTTTTTGTTGGAGGGTTAATAAGGATGGACTCACGTATGGTCAAACGCGGCTAAGCTCTTAATTTATGGTGGAATTTTCTTGTTTTCTTTAGATAAAATGTAATTACGCAAATTTATTTTAGCATAACATGTCGAGAAGACCACCCCCATCCATTGAAGGACTACATTCTCTCAAGGTACTTGGCTCACCAAACTATAATCAATGTTTTTTAGGTTGATAATATATCTTATAATACGACTCAAGCTGATCTACGTAGAATCTTTGATAAATACGGTGAAATTGGAGATATCCATATACCCCGTGACAAGTACTCACGCCAAAGTAAAGGATTCGGATTTGTCCGTTTTTACAGGTTTTTAGTGAAGGGTGATCCGATTCAACCAATTGTTTTAGCCGTCGTGACGCCGAATATGCTCAAGAACGCACTGATGGTAAATGGGTTGACGGAAGGGAGTTGCGTGTAGCTCTTGCTCGTTATGAACGACCTATTGATGAGAGGGGTCGCTATAGGTATTCTTTTCAGTTTCCCAATTAAGAAGAGTTTTTATCATATATGGACCCATAGGTCGGCTGTAGATTTCGTAGCCGTAGCTGAGTACCTGAAATCAAGCTATGTGATGCCAGTATATAGAATTCTGCGACACTTCTGTAGCCGAAACGTTTTCTCCTCCAGTTTTAATCAATGCTACTAGCTAGTGCCAAAGTTCAATTTTGCAATTAGTTTCTGAATGTGTTCGTTTTATGTTCTGAATTCTGCTAAGCTCTACATTGAATGCTTCCACTATTGAAATTGATAGATTACTATGAGTAGTTTGAATGATTGATTTCGATTTTTTTTCCAGATCCCGATCTCCCAGGCGGAGAAGCCGTTCAAGATCTCCTCGCTATTCTCGATCTCCAAGACGAAGCCGCAGCCGTAGTCCAAGTAGGAGCCGAAGCCGTAGTGGAAGTCGAACGGTAAAATTAGTTTTTTTTGGTTAACAAATACTAATCTCAGAGCGGACGTGCAAGATCTCGATCTCCAAGACGTAGGACCCGAAGTGCTTCTCCTAAACATTCGCCACAGAATCGTCGTGTGAAAAGCGAGAGCAGATCTAGGAGCCCAGAGCGAAGAAGTGCAGAGCGTCGTAGTGTTGAAAGAAGCGCTAGCCGAGGCCATTCCAGCAGTCCGTCAAAATCCAGATCTGGATCACCTTCTACTCACAACGAGTAATTAATGTTCTTCTTCACTCTACACTTTGTTAATGTTTTGATAAATGTGAGATATAGTAGTATGTTTCTTGGTTGGCCTTTCTAGTCAAATAATAGTCTAAGGTCACGATGGCCATTGTGGAAACAATAATTATTCTTCATAACAATGGAGGGGTCCAACCCTTCAGTAGCATGCTATTGGTGAGATGCGTACCTTTGTGGTTCTCAAGATTTTTATAGTTGTGTTTTGCATCGTCTCAGCCTAAGCGTTTCTGTTCTGAGCAACACCTGTATTAAGAAGGTGGGCGTGATCGTCGCAGGAACGATACTATTTCAATCCGGCTCCTTCATTTTAAAACCAAACGGATGTTTCGTTACATGACATTTTTCATAGCTGTAAGTTATTCTGTTTACTCATATTATTCATTCGGTCTTTGTTTCAACATTTTTTTATATGTTATAGATTCTTATACAAAAGGTTCTCAGCTCTACAAGGTTTCATAATTCTGTTGTTGGTTGGTAGTCATTATTCATGGAAGGGATACAGTTTTTGTTCAGGAAGTCCGCTGGTTTTCTGTGAGGAAAAACTTATAAGGATTGAGTTCGAGACTCTCGAGCCGTTTTCCGGAAAAGTATTTGTCAAAGGAGAGTATCACAATCAGCATTGTAGTCAGACGTATGCAAACGGTAGAAGACATGAAGATCATACTACTGAGAGTGAGTGTATAGTTTTACCTCTATTGAAGATAACGCTCAGTCTTTTTTTGCTAGATGAAGTACTGTCCAACACGGAAGTTAGAATTCTCGTTGATCCGATAGAACATAGCGTTGGCAAGAAGCCCGAAATGTCAGCCTTGGATCAGAGGGAAAACTCAACAACCTACAACATCGCCATTCAAAAAAATTCGAACCTCAGTTCGAACTGGACTGGAACAGGCGGTTCAACTACCCATAGTAAACAGAATCGTATGCCTTATCCTTCGGCCTTCGGAGGCATTCAAACCGAAGTTCGTCGGCAAGGAGAAATGAACGGTTTTTTTTGGTGAGGGGTATGATCCTACATAACATACTTCTTTATAGAGCGAACTCGTGATCGTTCGCCAATTACGGTCTTCCAGAAATCGCCAAGTATGGAAAATGTCCGAGGAAATAGTGAACAGTTCTCAAGTGCTCCGGTACTATTCCAGTTTACTATTTGTTTATGTCTTCCTATTAGGTCTGTCCACCTTGTTCTTGCGATTCACAGGATATCCGAAGCCGACGGAACACAAATCAGCTCACGTTCACAGTTCCTCTCGGAGATTGCAATGCTAAAAGAGAACGAATAGTTAGTGAATTCAGCCTTAGCAAACCTCATTCCTATAAATCGCCTAGTTTTTTGATTCATCTCTCTATTCATACGTAATTTACAAAATATTCGAGTGGTTCTTGTGAAGATGACCATCAAATTTCTCACGAAGGACACTTTCATGACTTTAATACTATTGAGAGAGACTGTAATTACTAGCAAATATCGAATATTACGTTATAAAGCGTTGAAATACAGGATAATGGCTTTGAAAAATCTTTTTTCATTAGATATCCGTTTTTGAAATGCTTTGTTCGGACTCTTTTCAGTATTTCTCTTATTTGCCCTATTTACAGCTCGTGCCTCCTTCCTTGATAACGTCTTTTGTAATCATTGTTAGTTTCCATGAAAGCTTTATTACAAAGTTGGATAGAGCATATCATATACAATGTGCCTACACGGAATCTTCTCGGCCTGTGATAGCCGACTTGAACGTTAGGTTTTGCATTTTAATATTAACGACTACTAATATCCTCGTTAATATAGTATGTCCGTTCCTTCATCCATCAACTCAACTGTGAAACCACCCAAATGTGACTATAGTATCATAGATGGGACTGGCCGGAATGCTCAAGATGTTAGAGTTGGAGACTTAGTTAAACATCAATGGAAATGTGATACGACGGAGCCAGGTGGGATGATACTTCCATTGATGTGAAACAGTTATTCCAGGACAATACAAAATGCTCGTGCACGATTGCTATGTGGAAAGCGGAATGAATGAGAAACAAAAACTAATTGATGATCATGGGTAAGCTTTTTACGAATCATTTACGCTTTATCATTGATTGTTCAGTTGTACTCTGGATAAATATACTTTTTCTACACCGACGTACTCAGACAACTTAACTGTTACTGTGGACTCATATATATTCAAGTTCCCGGACAAGTGAGTTTCTACCCTTGTTTGATATTTGAGATTTTATTTTTGTCTTATCATAATGGACTTTACAGGAGTGCAATGGAATTTCGGTGCGCGATCAAACTGTGCACCGTTCATGATTTGGATTGTGTGATACATAAAGTAATATAATTTCATTAACCGAAAATACGATTCGTTTTAGCCTGAGGAATGCGACCAACAGAATCGTAAACGTCGCAGCTCTGCTAGTGAGCAAGACGATTATGCAGTTCTGTATTCAAATAGCTTAACAGTACTGGATAAGGGGAATATGGATGAGGCCAGTACATCTTCCGAAGGAAAACGTCAGAGCATGGCGTTGGAAGAACAGAGCTTTCTCAACAGTTTGGTTAGATATGCGGAAAATGGAGAAATGTGCTTTTCTCACATTGTTTACGGTTTTCTAATATTTCTTTTAACTTTCTCTTCGACGCTTTCATTAACTCTGATACTTGCTCAAAAACTCATTGTTAAAAGTGAGTTCAATAGAATATAAACATACAAGTAATCCAACTCCATAACTGTCGCACTATCTCTCGTTACGTATTTCATGAGAGGTTGCTTTCTCTAGCTTATCTTATCATGTTGTGCAATGTTTTGATACTATTTTAACAAATATATTTATAATAAATGTTTCACACAGTCTAGTTATCCCAGCTCAAGACACTTCCGACGTTTTTCTTTTTACTTTCAATGTTCATCTATTCTTGGTTTTACTTCATTGGTGATAAGAAGCCGATAAGCGTGTATCGATTTTGAATCATTCTAAGAGGAACCTGACGTGTTTAGGCTTCAACATGCCTGTTTTTTCTCTCTCTGACCATTTGGATTCTTCAGAAAACATTTTTCTCAAGCTGCCTCATATTTTCAAGCCATTACAAACCGTAAGTCTAAACGTTATCACAACAATAACCTTTTGAAACAATCAGCTGAACGCTATTATACTAGCTATTTGCGTTGGATCCACAGCAGGCTCTGAGAATGGGATACTATGGTTCATTATAATTAGCTCACTATTGGTCAGAATACTTATAAAACTTGATCAATTTGCTCAAAATAGGTGTCAGCTGCAGCTACCGTTATTTTCGCTATGAATCAGCAAGACAATATAACAGAGAGTTTAACGAATGGAACAGTCACTTGGAATATTTTGGTATTCGAACTCTTTCTTCGTTTTCATTTTTTGGTTTCAGGAGCTTGCTTATTCTTTCATCCTAACTGTTCTTTGTGTTATAAGCATTTGGCTCTCTTTTGGATTCGCAAATCGACATTTAGGAGGAACATCTGCCGGCTACATCGCTTCAGGAGTAGGCTACTGCTAGGTAGAACAGACGTATTTCTTTTTTCAGCTATTTTCTATAATACATGCTGTTTTATATGGGATTCCTTGTTATTTAATTTATGGAGAAGTTCACAATAACTCGAACAATAACAGATTCGACAGAGATGTGACTGTTGAATCAGTTCATCCTATCCGAAACTACTCCTACCAAGATGCTTGAATTGAAGCAAACAATAAAAAAGTTTACTTTTCTATATTCTATCTCTCCACAGTCTTCACTGTCAAGAAGAGTTGTCAATTTCTTGGATACATTTATCATTTCCTATTACTAACTTATCATGTTGATGATTATATTATTGGAACACTCTATTCTAATGAATGATATCGAACAGAGCGAAAGTGTCTTTCTGTTACAACAGTTATCTTCTTCAATATGTGAATTCAAACGATTGTGGACTCGATGAGCATAAGAGATATTTTATAAAGAAGAGAATCATTGGTCAACGCGAAAGAAGAACGAAAGCTGAGGAAGAGTGTTAAACAGTGCATATTGCTGAAGATATTCGAGAGGGCAAAACAGAATGAGAGTGGGGGGCGTATGACAAGGAGCTCCGAAACGTATCTTGGCGGAACTTTCGGAGCTATAAAACATTGCATTCGTACCTCGAACAACTGCTCCCAAATTATTCGATCGATAAAGAGCTCATTTCTCTGCAACTATAAAATTAGATTTTTTTCTTAAATATACTCATAACCGCGACTTTGCTAAACAGATAAGAGGGTAAAACGGCTGTCGATACTTGTCAATATCGAATTTTGGTCTTTGCTGTTCTACCGGATGCCATGGTTACGAGAGCGTCGTTCGCATAAGAATCTTACTCATACATGCTCTTGTTTAATTAACCATTGTCTAACTGATCTGTCTAATAAAACGAAGGTCATTTTTTAGAAAATGAAGAAAAATGAAGGGGATGCATATATGAGCCGTCTCAGCAGCTCTGCTTCCAGTATTCGCGCAAGTAACTACTCAATAGCCCGTTCGTTTGAGCCCAGGTGTTCCAAATCTTGATTATGTAATAAACATTTTGTTTACAGTTTGAGCTCTTACCGATTTGCCAATTATACTCCACCTACTCGATCATTAGGTTCATCAGATAGGGTATCGTCTTATGAGAACTATTCGACAAGTTGGTTTCAAAAGAACTACATATTAAACTGAAATTATTGAAAATCTTAGAATGCTCTTCAAATAATGGTTCATTAAGAAGATCCAGTTCTTCCACATCTTATGGACGAACATTGTACCAAAGGTAATTAAATCGTAACATATTTGCAAAAGTTGCAATCTTTCAGTCCAAGTATGCAGAAGTATGGTTCTGTACATGAATCTAGTATCAAACCCACAAATCCCTATAAACATTTACCTAGTCGGGATAATAAAAGTAACAACGTTCTGAGCACAAGTACAACTTATGGGAGCATAAGCTCTCTTACCAGTTCTATTGGTACTAATAACAATATTCGCACCAACACTACATCGGGAGTAAGATCTAGATCGTCTTCGGTAACACCAAGCTATCGGTTTTTCGAAATTATAACTTCCGTTGTAACGTTTCGTATTAAGAACCGTGAATGTAGCTCAGCTGAACAAACAAGCGAAAGAAAGAGCGGAACGGGAAGAAAAGCTGAAAAACTATCTGGAATGGTCGGAGCGTGAGAAGCAGAAAGATATGGAGTTAAAAGATGATATTCTCGACTTAGAATTTCGAAAAGTCTTAGGTTAGTTTATCTTCATTCGAGGCAGTTTTGACGAGTTTCAGGAGCTGATCCAGTCAATACCAATAGATCGTACTCGCAGTTTTCTCGATCAGGAGCAATAGAATCTGATATAGGTAGCCTTCGGAGCTCAATGGCTAAACGGAACACCTTGAATAGCTCAACAGAATTATTCAACAGAGTATTTAAAAATATGAGTTCATTAGAATGACACATATGTATATTAAGGCGAACGACGAAACGCCCGAGAGAAAGTTCAACGAAATGACCATTTCAACATCATCAGCTTGCGCAAATGGATATACCGGTCTGCGAAACATTGGAAACACCTGTTTTCTCAACTCTACTGTTCAAATTTTGGCAAACCTCATAGAACTGAAAAAGTATTTTTTGGATGGTTTATATATAGCTGATTTGAATCGAGAGAATGCTCTGGGCTGTCAGGTTGGAGCCATGGACATGTCAAGATAACTTTATTCTTCATTAGGGAAGAATAGCTGAAGCTTTTGCTGATATAATGAAGTCCTTATGGAGTGGAAAGCATAGAGCCATTGATCCGGTCCGTTTAAAGGTATTTTTTAATTTGCATAAACATAGTATAAGTCTTAACCATCACCTGTAGGAGCTAGTTGGTTTGAAAGCCCCTCAATTCGCCAACTGTGGACAACACGATGCGCACGAATTTCTATCATTTTTGCTCGATTTGCTACATGAAGATTTGAACAGAGTTAGAGTGAAACCAATAGTTAGCCAAACGGATAACGAGAGCGGAAATGATCTTAAGGTTCAGTTGAAACATTTTTAACTTAAAGAGCTATGACTATGCCAGGTCTCATCAGAAACATGGAATAACCATTTATTAAGGAATAATTCAATTTTTGTTGATCTATTCCATGGACAGTTGAAGTCAAAACTGCAGTGTCCTAAATGCGACAAAGTAAGATCTGTTTGAATGGTATAAATACTAACGTTGCAGGTGTCTATCACGTTCGATCCATTCGTTTATCTACCAGTTCCATTTCCCAAACCAAAAAAAACAGTTTCTTTGTTATATTGGCCACTAGATTCAAATAAAAAACCTATAAAGGTATCTATACTACTCGGCTTTTATGATTTAACGAATAATTCAGCTGTCTCTACGTTACTCAGTCGATGGAGTACTTGATGATCTAAGCAAACTGATTAGTGAGGTTGTGAATGTATCTCCACAACAAGTAAATTGATTTTACCCCACAAGGAACACAGATATTTTTGAGATCAGATTGATTGAAGTATTTGGACACAGGATACAAAAAGTTTTTGATGGAACCGAGAAACTGACAGAGTTGTGCAGTGGGATTGTCATCTACGCGTGAGTTGAAATGACATAACAAAATGCTATTTATTTTAGGTTTGAGCTTTGCAAAGCCGATGAAGAAATAGTTGAGCTATATGCCATACAGAGGTTGCTCTATGTTTCTTCTCTGCGATACTGCTGTAGTGAATGCGGAAATTTCAAAGGAAAACTGAAAGCTTGCGAGGCTTGTTACAATGCGTATTATTGCGATAAGTAGGTAAAATTTCTGTTTTTTATGAACTTCCAATTGCTGAAGAGAATGCCAACTGACTCATTGGAATGAAGGACACAGGGATGAATGCCGGAGACGTAGTCAAGCAGAAAGTGTCGGACAACCTCTGGTTATCTCAATACCCAAATCGCAACTGAATTATTCCAACCTTGTAAGAATTTTGGATAAGAAGTGCAGGTATACTTACATACGATGTTTTTACAACTGTAATACTTATTTTAAGACATTCTGTTAATGTGACAGCTCTTCAAAGTTTTGAAGATGTTGATGGTCACGATTTATCGAACAGTTCATTAGTGAAATCGAGAAGTATTTCTTCCATTACTAGCATAACGCAGGAAGTTGTGTTAATAGCATCATTCACACAGTATGATACACGTTTCAGAGGACTCCTTCAAAAAAGCGAGACCGTCAACTACTATTAAGAGTTATTTCTAGCCAAGCTCATATACTGGGAGACACTATCAGCAGTGAGAGCTCTGGTAAACATTTTCCCCATTGAGGCAAAGGTTTGATATTCAGGTTCAGAATCAGAAGGACAAACCCTTATGGTGAAATCTGGATCTTTCTTATCTGTTAACTGGTACAACTTTCGTCATGGCAAGCCATTCTTGAACGTTGAAACCAAGAAGACTATAGTAAGTTTCCAACATAAAAAATATAGTGATATAACGGAGTAATAAAGGACTTCGACGTTCTTGAAACAGAGTCTTCGAACACGACTTCAGCACAAGCAATCACAACGTTAGAAGACATGCTGGTATTCATATTCTGTTTAACTAACTTATACAATAGGGCATATTTAAGGAAATGTTCTCTGAAACAGAGCGGTTGAAACCGGAGGAATCTTGGTACTGTAATAAGTGCAGAGACCATGTAGAGGCAACGAAGAAATTGGAATTGTTTCGTCTTCCACCTATACTGATTATTCAACTTAAGCGTTTTGTCTACACCTGTAAGTATTATTAGTTTATAAAAGGTATTATCTATGATCTTTTATTATCTTTTTTTAGCTAGCTACCACACTATGCATCGTAGAAGCAAAGATGAACGCCGAGTGGTCTACCCTCTGGAAGGTTTGGATATGACTTCATATTTATCAGATACGTCTTCCACACATCTGTCAACAGTGAGTTGTCAAAGATTGGGAAGTGGATGTTAATATGATGCTGAATCGTTCAGATATATGATTTGGTTGGCGTTGTTTGTCATAGTGGGAGCAGTTTCTTTGGACATTACATCAGTATGGGTAGACTTACTTCCTTCGATACAACTGATACAGAAATCGGTAGGTTTCATGAAAACAGCATTACTAAATGTTTATTCTGTACCTCTTTTGATTTTTTTTCTATATATTGATTGAATTCCAAAGTATTCTTCCGTAATGGAAGAACACTGATGTCCGGGAAACCGTTCCTTCTCTCCAAACACCATGCCTCCCTGTTATATTCATATTTGAAGGATGGAGATCATTCGACGATTCCGTCGTAACGAATCAACCAATCTCAGCGGTACAATCAGATGATGCTTATCTGCTATTCTATAAACAAAGAGGAAATGCTACACGACCAGTTTTCAGGTGAACGAAGAGAACACTAATCTAAAGTATCAGTTTTTACAGGAAGAACTACGGGGTAGATATCAATGAGTGATTGCCAACGCCTTCTCTTTAGTTAAATCTTGCCAGAAGGTTGAAAACAAGCCTTTCAGATTACTAATCGAAAAGAATTCTGTAATGCAATGAAGTGAACTTCTTGTTATAGTTTATCGTATAGATATCTCTTTTGAAAAGCCAAGTAATGTTCGTGTTTTGCTGAGTATGGGTAACACTGTTTTTGGAGTCAGCTCCAGAATATTCTTTATCTAATAAACGTTGAAATAAAATCTTTCATGATTCTTGGGATTTCTCATTGTCTGACAGAGAAGAGATACGCTAGTAAGATAAAGTTTACAGATCTTCAACTGGCTGCCCCGACTTCGTATACTCCTAGTTTCTCATTGAGAAGCAGAGTTGCAATTCCTTCTTACATTTTGAATAGTAGAATTCTTCATTTCAGATAAATATTAGTGATGGTAGGCTTGACGTCAAAAGAGCAAGAAGCAGTTGATAGAGTGATCCAAGCTATTGGAGCATCTAACGAGCCATACTGTGATCATGCCTATAATGTACACAGATGGATTACAGCATGGCAAGATGAAACGAAGGCAGCAGAAGTAATTTTTATCTATAAACAGGCTTTATGAATGTAATCCTTGCTCTATAGAACCTTCAAAGACATTTACATATTCGCAAGATAATGCCCCTTCCTCCTGATGAAGACTCTGTCTCGAAATTGATGGAGGAATATGCTCCTATAACAATATTAGGGAAAAATCGTAAAGACGATAATAAAGTTGAGGAGAAGGAAAAGTAGAGCTGGTATTACTAGATTTTCTGTTACAGATCCTTCTTCTAGAACAAAGTGGACGAATTGATATATCAGGGCTGGTAGAGAATATCCAGGTGCGAAAAAATGTTAGCTTGTGAAGAGATAAGATTTTTTGAGCTATCAAGCTTCATGAGGACCAAATTCCGGATGATGCAGAGGTTACAAGAAAAAGTAGAAGAAGAAGAAGTAAGAACAGGAGAACAGAGTGGTGGTGTTTTGATCATGGACTTGAGAGGGCTTAGTTTTTCTACAAATCTGCTTTCTGTTTTAGCTGGTAAGTCCGAACTTAAACTTCGACTCCAGCCTGTGTATCCTCAGGGCCTTATCGCATCATGTGGGGAACACTGTTCGAACAGTATCCTCAATTGATTCAGCAGATCATAATTATTAACGCTCCAAAATTCATGAACCTGTTGTATCAAACGTGCTTACCTTTCATTCCTGCTGACTATAGAGTTAGATTTATACTGTTTATTATATTCTTATTCACAATTTAGCAAAAAATACAGATTTCTTCTGACATATCGGCTCTTCACTCTTCTGTGGATTTGGATTGTATTCCAGACGAATATGGGGGCGACGCAAAAGCACTGGACAAATTTGAAATCGTTTATGAGATCAAAGTAAAGTGTCAAGTATTATGTTGAGACAGTAACAGAAACTGCTAGATACCCGTTCACCCAGTACCTGCAAAGGAACCAATCAAACAAAGCTTAAACACATTACAAATCCCAGCCGGTAAGCTTTTCATCAAACTAAAGAAATTATTGGACTTTAGGTGGATACATGGTGGAGCAATACGAATGGGGTAAAGAAGAGATTATGGATTTCTATCTCTCGAACGAACAGAACTTCACATATTTTATTTTCTACTCTGAAGAACCAACAGTAAATGAAGAGACTAATTCACAACATGTATTATTTAGGAAGATCAGACAGAATGGAAAGAAATTTATGCAGGATGCGAGCGACCAGCTTTGAAACAAATTGATAACTGGAGATGGAAAACACCACATTACGGGTTTTACGAACTCTAGCAAGCTTGTTTAAAGTATACTTTTTCAGGTATTACTACATAAGATATGGTAATGAGAGAGCATGGATGTTCTCTGTAACGGTGCAGAAAGCAATTTATGCAATTACACATGCAGGACTGAAACCACAAACACCAACTAAAGTTTTTCGCATCTAGAACCATTAATCACTGAATACAAATCATTCATCTTTCTTGTTTCCTTCAGTTTGTGACGAACAACAGGTGGGGTCGCCTTCATCTTAAAACAACAAAACAATCGCAACTAGTATATCTTACTCACCTTTTCTCGTTGATTGTTCCGGCTGTTGAATAGGGCACGTCGGAAACAAATACTTGTCTAAGAAGTTAATCCAACTTTGAGGCATAAGCCTTAAAAAAATGATTTCAAAACAACTTCATATCAATACCTGTAAACAAATGGCTGAATGAATTTCAAATATATAGCCAGAGCAATTGGCAGAAACACACATGGGATACATACCATAGTTAACACTTAAGATGGATTATACTGAGGACTCATCAAGCTCTTGCGCGATCTGCACTGTGTTTACGAGTGTACACCAATTGTAGGGAAATAATCCTTTCATATTTCCAAAACATGTTTCAATCAGTTGCAATAAGAGTGAAGAGTTCAGCGTTATGTTCGATGAATAGAACTTTCTTCTTAGAGTCCAATCTTCTTGTTCTAGAAGGATAATTATCTGGAGAAACAACCTGTGGGCATGGACTATTTACGAGGATCTTTAGGTATGATCATCATGTATAATTAGGTCAAGAACATAAGAAATCGATTACATACGATCAAATCGTTTTCAATAACTTTGGTGTACATTGAATCCAAATGGCATATATCATTGTCATCTCCTGCTCTCCCACTATGCTCATTTAGTACATCACTTCCCGAAGCCTCTTGTTTCGTGTTCACAATTACCGCAAATGTTTTACGTTTCATCTGAACTTGTCATTTTTTTTTCTGATATAGGATCCCAAGAACCTAGAGTAATCATTTAATGCACAATGATTGGCTGACTAAGAAGATTGAGAAAAATGCTGTATCCTATTCTAACGGTGTAATAAAAGAGCCCAGACGCTTTCTAGAAAAGAGTAGGAGGATAGAGACGAGGAGATTTTCGATGAAAACTAAGAAAAGAATTTTCGTTTAGTTTGCTTCTCATACATTGCTGTGAGAAGAAGATTAACACGATTTGGCTTAGGTTTATCGAGCTATGAGCTACTTGTCACCTCTTCCGCATTATTCTGCTCCCAGGTGAGACGGCGTGAATGATTTCTGTTTTGTTATACTCCCTTATCTGGTAGTTTCGTGAGCATTGCTTCAAATCGGGGCATCTGTTCTAAACAATTGTGCAGTCTATTATTTGTTCGTTTTCCCAAATTTTTCATGTTCATTCATAATTTTTTCAATAGGAATTATTCTCCGAGTCTAGGGAAAACAAAGTGTAAATTGTTTTTTTTAGGAATATGAATTATTATAATCATCGTTGTGAATCTCCTAACAATGTTTTCATTCCAGCCTTCGACGATCTCGTTCGTGGTCTTCCGTTTCATCAGTACCCGACTGTGAGCTATGGGACCCCCGCCTGCCCCTCCTCCACCCCCTATACTCAAACCCGTAAATCCTTCCTTATTTATCACGTTTTGCATAAATGTATTTAGACAACGACATTATCACTTGGCAGGCGGCCGACAGAGAATGCATCAAGACGTAACAACAATCCCGTACCTGGTATGTCATAAAGATTTTGAGCATTCTCTTTACTCTTTGTCTCTATCCATATATTTCCTCTGTTTCCAGCGGCGTCCCAGCCGTCCCGTCCCCGTGTGGACAGTCAGGCATTACAGGTTTGGAACCTAACTCTTTACAAAAAGTTTTACAAAATGCATTCAGCACGCAGCGGCTCGCCTGCGTAAGACCGGCTACAACCAACAGATACGAGGTTTATACTTGTTGTCTGCTTAGACGAAAATAGCTCAACAATTTTCTTGTTGCCCGTTCAGATAAAAATTTATTTTGATAACATCAGGTGACTTCTCGGATCTATCCAATGGAAGAGTGGACAGATCGTCTGAACAGCTGCCTGGACAACATTGGCAGAATAGCGAGAAGCAGCCGGAGTTGGACAGCAATCAGGCCAGAGAATCGGTAATACTTTTGTCTGAAATCGTGAAGGAAGTTGATGAAAAAACAACGTTTAAGGTTCTTACTCCGCCCTCTAGTAGCAACCAATCTAGCTCGTACCACCACGTTCACAGAAACACCAATTCTGTAAATACTGGATCTACTAATCAAGTGAGTTTGAAAAGTTTTTTAAACACAGTATTGTTGCAACTTCGCCTGTTTCAGCCGCATAATACTTATCGTTACTCAAACAATATATCCCCCTACCAAACATCTAATCCCAACGACAACCAATACAGTATATATTCCAAGAATTTCAACGCTTCTAAAAATATATCGGAACCATTTTCTAAAAACTATAGCTCTTCGAGAACTGTTTCATATTCTTCGATACCAGTGCCAGCCAGCACATTTAGTATTCAAAGCTCGCAGGACAACTTTCCTACTTCTACTTACGAGCCTTCAGCCACCCAAAATAGAGATAACAGGTAAACATATTTTGTTTCCTTGCTATATTATAAGTTTTCCGGCCTTCCTTCGATCACTTTCTCCAACCAAATGTTCACATATATGAATTCGCCAGCAGGACATCAGCGGATACGCACCAACCACAGGGAGTTCCTCCACAACCTTCTACTACAATAAAGAACAAGCCAACACATCCTAATAGCTTTGCAATTGAATTAAGAGACAAAGGTTAAAGGTTCTGAAATACTGCTACACACCTAAGTTTTTAAGGGTTGACGTCTTCACAGCGCGAAGCCAATCAGTTCAAGCACTCGCAAAGGCAATGTGAATCTGATCTTCCATTTGACGTGACTACCTTACTGCAGGTATGTTGAATAAGTGATTTTCCCTAACAGTTTACTTTGGAAGTTTTTAACTTCAGTGTTTCATGTTCAGAAATGAGCTTTTTCTCTAGCTTATCGATCGTCTCTTTTTCTCTAGCTGGAGCTTGCGTTCTCGTTTCTCTGTTTTCGTTTCTTGTTTTATTTATTTCGAGGCTTTTCTCCGTTTTCACGAACAGATGAAATTCAATTAATAACGCATTTAAAAGTTTATAAGTATTTTTATAGCATATTTGTTATAGAATTCGTTTCGAGGAGACGAGGTTGATCAGCTTGTAATGCAAATGGCGAATCAACTGAGGAGCAATGAATCACCAAATCGTCTTCATGAAACGAGCACATCCTCATGCTCTAATGCTTACCGAACAAATACAATGCAGAGATCAAGTGAGTTTCGAGGGAAAGAGAAAAATCTATAGAAACACTTTTTGTTCAAAAAAGTTCGTTGACACCCACAGCGGCTTTGTTTTCTCGCCCAATTTTTGAACAACCGAGAAGTTTATCTTATAACTTATTTTGTTTTCGACATGGATCTGCTTGTAAGTGCACAAAAACGTCGTTAGAAAAAATTCAAAAGGGAAATGTTTTGCCAAGAGTTTCTAAGTTTTCTTTTTTGCTTCAATTTTTTTCTGCGTCTGTTAAGTCTCCGCCCAAGCTGTCTGTTGTGCAGTTGCACAAGAGATTGTTTCCGGCTGAGCTTCGCGAAGGTCAATCTCTAACTCACAACTATTTCGCTGAGATTAGTCTAAAGTTGTAAAATAGTTATCTATACAACAAAACTCCAATGGCTGACAAAGAAGGTATGCAATCCATCAAGTTATGAGTGTTTGTTAGTTTAAGATATTCAATATTGACAAACGTGAAACTAATTCACTGTTTCTTCCCTCCTGAACACATCCATAAACTATATTTCATTTAAAAAAAACTTAAATTATCCTTCTCCATAATTAAGAATGATTTCAGACATTTGTGTGTCATGCTCTAACCCTATCACATTCGAAAAACCTGGATGTGTTGCACTAGATCAGGTTTGTGATTTTTTATTCCGATCAAAAAAAACTGCAATATAGGATGACTCGGTTTTGAAAATAATAGTCTTTTTCATTTCCAACTCTCATGCATTTCTTAGATGACAGTTGCTCACCAATCAGCATTCTTCTTTTCTTTTTCAATTTCTAGTTGTAAAATTCATTAAGAACTTGAACAAAAAGAAACTTTAACAATGTGTTTTAAGGTATTCCACGTGAGTTGCTTTAATTGTAAGAAGTGTGGACGTATCCTTGCCGGCAGTTCCTTCTACAACATCGACAACAATCCTACATGTGAAAGTTGTTATACGGTTAGTAATGTCCTTCTCCAAATAGTAACCCTTAGCTCCTTAACCTTCATCTCCTTTTCTAATAGCTAGTTTGATGTGAAGTCTTTTGACTTTGACTTTATTGTTTATGATTGTGAAACCGTGATGTAATGAACGAAGAGCAGTTGTTTCTAGAGTGAAAATAGCTTTTCGTTTCCCCCCTCACCCTCTCTGAATTGAAATCACTGCATTATAATACGCCAAACAAGCGCTTCTCAAGCTATCACGAAAACTCCCCCGAGATTTATTCTGACTATCACATGGCTTTGCGCATTAATCACTCGTGGAGCTTTGATCATAGAGTTTTTTTTTTGAATAACTGCATTTAAGGAATCTTTGGACAAATGCACCAAATGCGGCCAACCTATTACGGACAAAGTTTATAACAACAACGTTTTATCAGAATAACTTTTTTATTCAGTTGTTACGTGCATGTGGTGGGACTTTTCATGTGGAGTGCTTCATATGTACAGTTTGTGCAACAGCTCTTGATGGAGTTCCTTTCACTATTGATTCCGATAACAATGTGCATTGTGTTCCATGTTTTCATGAGTGAGTTCGCTAATAACATTTCGTCGTATTGTCGGTTCGCGTTCGTCACATTATCTTTGTAATTTAGGAAGTTCGCACCGAGATGTGCTGTATGTCAACGTGGAATTATTCCAATAGAAGGTGAAAAAGAAAGTGTTCGCGTGGTTGCAATGGATAAATCTTTCCATGTTGAGTGCTACCGTTGTGAAGACTGTGGATTACAACTCTCGAGCAAGGTGAGAACGGTAGAGCTTATAATATCGCGATGTTATTTTTTCAGATAGAAGGTCAGGGATGCTATCCTCTAGACTCACATCTATACTGTAAAACCTGCAACTCTAATCGCTTACGTGTTCTGGCTAACGTTTAATTTTAGTACCTCGAAGAAGTATTACATTTTGTCATTAGCAACGCAATGTAATAAATGAACTTGCTTTTATATGCATGCTTATCTGAAACATAAAGAAGCCTCAGAGCTCATTTCGTTTGAAGAACACAAATTCCCTAGCGAGATCTATAAAAAGTTTGTGGTTGAAGCAGAGTATGTAGAATATGAAAGATAGCATCCTCCCACACTGCTCAATTAGGAACACATTTCAACTGGCTTCTCTGTAAAACTTTCTATTCTGGACTTTATTTCCATCTGGAGAAGCAAAAAACGGTTTATGTACAATAGAGCACGATTATTCGAGCAATAAACTATCGAAAAATATATAAAAAGATCTAATAGATTCTACGGCTTTACTTTCAATTCCTGCCTCGGAAACTTCGGCCAGTATGAACTTTCTGATTATCCTCTGAATACGAAACATCATTCCATTAAATGAATTATATTATTGCTACCTCACTGCTGCTTAAAAGCTTCACGCAATCACAATACAAGCTCTCTATAACGGTCATAATTGCGGAGAAAGTAATATGTTCATAGTTATTTTCGATGAATCTATTATGAATGGGTTACAGTGTCATGAAATGAAAACTTACATTTTACAAAGCTGTGATAGCCTACGAAGAATGCCTTTTAGAAGCTCTGAATTTGGAGCTCTAGATTTTATTCTGAAAATAAGACTGAATGTTTTTGCTTCGGAAAGGGGACATACAGTTCGACTGCCACATCTACAGCAGTTTTGAAAAGAAACAAAAACTTTTCAATTTCATTAGTGAAATTGTAAAGAGATTGATGGCGTTCTGACTTCCTTTCTTTGAATTCGCCATCATTTGGCCCATCTCTCATCGCTTGGTTTCTATGACTTTTGGCATCATTAACACTATTCAAATCGTACGTCCTCTGAATGTTTGCCCATTCAGAAACCTAAAATGACCGGAACGTACATAATGAAGAAAAATGAAGTTACAGATCACCTTCTCATTTTTTTTATTTCTAGTAGTATAAGTAGAAGTAGTTTTCTGAAGAAAATGACGATTAAAAGATTAGCTTTAACTTGTCACCTCCTTGATTGCATCAGTAGGAGTGTCCACATTTAATTTTATCAGCTGAGCAAAATTCTGGAATTGAGCATTATAATCACTCGATACATTGAAGAAACCTCAGCACTGTAAACATTTAGTCCATGGGATATACCTTTTGAAGTCAAGTTCCTATCTTCGGTAATGAGAAAAATGTTTTCCGTCTCTCCTCCGCTTTGGGATACTTAACGTTATCCTCATTAGTCTTACAGGTAATCCAATTTTTCACCTCGTTGATGAACACTCAACGCAGTTTTCAGAACTTTATCATCGTTGACTGTCCCTGTAAACTTAATACTTTCTCCATTATAGGCTGTGATATATAGAGATGCTTCTGACTGTAAAATATTGAATGAGACTGTGTTAGATGAACGCCTACGTCTATATAGCTTTCCAACGATAGTCCTTCTTCGAAAGAGGACGCTAAACGACTGAGTTCTGAATTGACAAACTTCGCTTTCTTAATTAAACAAATAAAATTTCGCAATAGAATAGAAAAAAAACTTTCTTCAGTTGATTTGTCGACTTGGTTAGGCCATCAAGTTCCCTAAGAACTATGTAGGGAATTATGCAAGCAACTCTCACTGAAAAAAAATTGGTTTTTTAAAGTAAGATCTTGTAGTTAACTTTCAAGAAAAGCTGAAATTGAATCAAAATTATCTAGCAGAGACGAGGTGTCAAATATTCCAAGAGCTATGAAATTCTTTTCGCAAATATCAGTTGCAACTTCCGTGCTCGTTTCCTCCTAGATGTTGAAATCAACTCAAGTATTGGTTAAATAATAACCTCGGAATGGCAATTATAGTTTTCATCTGGAGTAGAAATATCCATAGGTTCGGCGTTATCCACAGTATTTTCTGGTTCCCTACAAAACAGACAACCGTGATAATAACAATAACAGTTCGTACGGGAGAAAGTTGTTCCCGGCAAACTCTCCAACGAATCTTTTTTTTGAAAGCGGCGTTGGCACAAATTCTTCATCAAAAAACTCTTCAGCCCATAAACATCTTCCATCTTTTGAGTTCATAAAGTAGATGCGATGCTTTCGTCCAGTGTGTACAAAAGCAACCCAAGGTTTTTGTAGCCATTCGAAATTGAGTGGAATTTTCTCAGTAACATGAGAGCCCATATACCTATAAGATTGAATTTGTAGCTCTAACCTCGCAGTGTTCTATATCGTTCAATAAGAATATTTGCTTGTATATTTCTACTGGAGTAAATCCAGCTTCACAGAAATACTTATTGTGCCATCAAAAGTGTCGTTCGACGGAGTGTGTTGTACGTAATTTAAAATATCCGAGTAATAAATATCGTGACAAATCGTTCTCAATTGTGTTTCTCTTTCGTTCTGACTTTTATATCGTTTGTCGGTGTATACAGCATCATTCAGACGGCAATATGGTCGTTGAAGCTTCACTACTTGATAAATTAGACGAGGTTGATGCATTTCTTTCTGGCCAAGAAGGAAAGATTGAAAGAAATCGGGACCCCAAAATGTGCAGACATAATGTAAAACAAAAGTGCACTCATTGCCTGCCAATTGATGTAGGTTTTTTTTCCTAAATGAAAATTGATATTGTTTAGCCTTATGATGAAGAATATTTGAAAGCAAAAGATATTAAACATATGTCTTTTCATTCATATGTGCGAAAATTAACTGAAGGAAGTGGGAAAGGTTCTCAGCTCAAGAAACCACTGGAGAATTTAAGGTGCCTTTTTTTCATTTTATTCATCTTATTTTCACAGATGTACCATCGATTTAACTTGTGTTGCACACAAACCATTTCCTGCTGGAATATGTACACGATGCAAGCCTGCTGTAGTCACTCTGAACCGACAGGTGAATTGGCTTCTCATTCTCTTATTTCGTTCTTCTCCAGCGTTTCCGTCACGTCGATAATATTTCTTTCGAAAACGACAGCTTGGTTAATGAGTTTCTGAACTTTTGGAGAAAATCAGGCAAGCAAAGAGTTGGATTCTTGCTCGGAAAGTAGGTTTAACCTTGACTCATGTTTCTAAGAAAATGTTTAGATACAATCCTTTCAATGAAGTTCCTTTGGGTATTAAAGCAACTGTGAGTGCAATATACGAGCCTCCTCAGTTATCGCATGCAGATAGCGTGTCTTTCATAGAAGACGAGAATGAAAAAGTTAGCTTAATAACGGTTCGATATGGGTCTAGTTAGGAATTTTCAAGAATGTAGACAAGCTGTGTTGCTGGTTAGGCATCAAAAGAGTTGGATGGATTTTCTCTGACTTGTGGTCTGCTGACAGCATCAAGGGCACTGTACATTGTACAAGAAATAAGGTAAGACTCTGCAAGTTGAGTGAAACTAAAGTTAAAATAGGATACTTTTCTGCTGAGTGCTGAAGAGTGTATTACTGCTGGGCACTTACAGTCAAAATATCCGAATGTTACGGATTATAGCACAGATCGCTACTTTGGTTCGAAGTATCATTTTATCCTATTGCATTCACATATTTTTTCATTCAGATTCGTTACAGTTGTAGCTAGTGGGGATGAGAATGAAACAGTGAACTTCCATGGATATCAGGTGAGATTTCCAGCATTAATACTGCTCGTCAGTGGAAATGAATCGGATGATAGTTCAGGTCTCTAATCAATGTAGCTCGTTAGTCGATGCTGAAGTACTCTGTCCATCGAATCATCCCGAGTTGGCATATATAAGAGAGAAGCCTTTGAATGATAAGCACTATATCACAGATGTACAATACACGGTAAGTGTGTACATTATACCATTTGTAATATTACTAAATAGGAGAAAAATGAATATGGAGCCGAAGTGCGGAAAGATGGCAGACCTCTTCCAGTCGAATATTTACTGGTTAGTACGCAAGATATGCTCACATTCTATTTTTGTTAGGTGGATGTACCTGTAGGTATGCCGAAGGAGCCTCAGTTCACCTTTACGGTTCCGAAAAAAATTCAGTTCATGATTGAAAATCGAAATGAGAGTTCGAGTTCTCAAGTGAGTTTTTCAATGAAAAATTTGTTATTCTTTATATTTTAGAACAATAACTTCAACCAGTACAGCTCAGAGTTTGCTCCCAACCAGTTTTTAGAACAAGCGTCAAACTTCCATTTTTTGATGTATCTTCTCACCAATAACATTGTAAAGTTCACCGACGAAGAAATACAGGCATCTGATGCTACACTGACGTTTACGCTGTTTTTTTTCAGGGCCTCTGCAAAGCCGTTGTGTCTCGGGATCGAGGGGCAGCGATGGATTGGGCCAAGCATTGTATTAATTGGCAACAGTTTCAGGCTCTTCTTTCGGAACACAATACTACAGGTGTGCTAACTCTTCTTGCAACTCTACTGTTGTTTAGATTTCGATCCTATGGATGTTGGGCAGCACTGGTCATGCAAGCACTGTACCTATGTGAACACTGTACCACGTACTGACTGTGCCATCTGCAGCCTGCCTTCTAGTTAATCTTCAACCACCCAGTACAAAATTCATTTATGTTGCCGACATACGTGGTAAGACCAGAAGTTGTTTGACCTGTAACGTTCAAGCTTGAAAGTATGTATTCTTGAGCGATCAACTTAATCGTTTCTGTTATATTTTATTAATTCTTCTATTTATTTTTTTAAATATACAATCAATGATTGTCATGTGCATATGATACCACTCACAAATCAATTAAGGTTTTTCGCTATGTTTGTTGAACACCAAATGATTAAGATATTATGATATGAAGAAAAAAAACATGTTGCTAATTACATTGAAAAGCATGAGACACAAACATTTCATTCGTATCTTGTATTTGTGTCCACAGCACAGTTTATTTTGTCCAAGCCTGCAAGGGAATGGTGCGAAGTACGGGGATAATATCAAGGCTGAGTTGGAACCAGCTCTGTTTCGAATCAGTATGAAGAAGATTTAGACTATCAGCTTCAGTTGCCATCAGGAGAAGGCGTCAATTCTGATTCTTAAACAGTGTTCGTAAATCACCCTCTGAACTTTGAAACATATTTTCTACTAAAAAAACCAATATTCTTGTTACTTTATATATATTTTTAGAATCAACGTTCGATTCTGCATCTGATGATGTTATCAGAATCTCTCTAACACCACTTTTTTCAATTTTATTTTTTCTTAGTTTTTGATACCCTCAGGCGGAGGCATTGATTCTGAACCTGAGACAATTCTTGTTTTCGATTATAATTAACAATTCGTGAAGTAATGGGCTTTCAAAGTTCAAATCTTGAGTTTGTATACGTTGCACGTTATCCGTGTTCCTATATATATGTCCACGTTTTTCACGTAAATCTCCCTCAAAACTTCAA